CAGGCAGGGTATTTGTCCTTATAGTTATCGTGTCTAAGTGTATTTTATGGCGCCATTTTGAAATGATAAGATTAATTATTAAAATTACAAATATTCTTGTAGGCTGTGTATCAAGTTAGTACAATTTTGTATCTAAATAATCCAACGCTAATGCTCATTACGTGTAATCCTTGAAATCAACATAAATTCTTCAGTTCTAATTAGAGCTTTAATTTTACTGTAATTTACTAATTAAGACTATCTCTGTAAAATATACTGAATAATTTATTTATAATTACTAATATATGAGGTAATAATTACTTATTTACCTAATAAAATTGTTTCTTATACTTTCACACGCAATACTCATTAAATAAAACTTTTATGATATTTATTTAGTAATTACCTAATATTAAAAGTATCAAATAAATTACTATAATATTTTATTTCATAACGCCTTACACATCATATGTTTTTTACATAGATGTTAATACCTGTACTTAATTTTAATACAGGTATTTGTATCTTTCCAAACACAAACAACACAAATCGGATTTCCGATTTTCGGAAGCCAGAAGCGCTAAACAAAATTACGGCTATAAATAATCGGTTTCAGAATCGATACCAATTTGGCTGTCTGAATCAAGAATCAAGTCACGTGCAGAGTTTAATTCGGGGCAAATATATTGAGGACCTGAAACGATTATTTGCAACAGAGGCAGCTGTTAGGCACTGCGCTACCTGTAAAGCTTTTCTTAATTTATTTTAATTCGAATTTTTGGAAGGGATGTGCTAATTATGTATTAATATACATTTTTGTGTAAGTAACCAAATTTAAATATATTTCAGCGCTTGTAATTTATATAGTTCATTATTTTTAGATCCTTTTTAGGCTAGTGTTTTCTAGATTCTACAGTGTGTATTATAAGTTTAGATCCTGTGTGCAAAATACATATTTTATTCTTAATGAAAAATGCTTAAAATATCCACTTTGTTCCTGTCACTCTGTCCCTTTCGCAATGATGTTCTAACCACTGACCTACCCAGGACCTTACAGGACTGACGAATTTTTTAAGCACTTCCTAGTTTTCCGCTACTACAGAACGTATTTACATAAATATTCAGGCAAACCACCCAAACAGCTGAAACAAATATTTTTACAAATATTAGGTTCTTACATATGAAATTGGCGTTTGGTATGGGAGGAACAAAAATTCGAATATTTTTTTTATATAATATATTTATCTTATCAAAGTATAAACCATCGTTATCTATGCACTTTTGCCATCTCAATGGTATTTTATTGATCCCCTTACTAAAAAAAACCATTCGGACGGGAATCAATAAAATCTTTGAAGGCGATTTGCACTGCCCCTTCGGAGTTGATTTTTTTCCCTTGCTAGAAGTTATCCAAATTTCGAAAAAGATGATAATCTGTTGGAGCAAGGTTCGGGAAGTACGGTGGATGTCTTAATTGAAGCTCTTCTTATTTGGTAGTCGTCTGTTATGCAGTGTGTGGTCTAGCGTTGTCGTGAAGTAGCAATGGCGTAGAGCGATTGACCACTCTCGGTTTTTCCACAGCTACTTTTTCCAGCATAGTTTGCAATTGCTGACAATAGATTATTGTGCCGGTTAAGTAATGTAACGCAGCAGCCGAAACGCGTTTGCCGGTTTGCTTCACTCAATTCTTGAGGTACCCACCTTTCATGCTTTTTAATATTTCCAATTTGCTTCAAGTAGATTAAAACAGTTTTATCACTAACACCGCAGCCTGCAGCTAACTCGGACGTGGTAAGCGATGGATACGCTACCACAATAGCCTTCAATTCTTCATTATTAACTTGGGTCTCCGGCCGTCCACAGGGCTTGTTCTGCAAGTCGAAATTTCCAGAACGAAAACGTTGGAACCAAAAACGCACTGTGTTTTCCTTTGTGACACAACCATCATACACATCATTAACCCTTCGAGCCATTTCCGCAGCACTGGTACCACGGTGAAATTCGCACTCGAAAATAGCACGATATTTCAAGATTTCCATTTTTTATACTGGGTGACGTAAATAGGACAACCAGAAGAAAAAAAAAACAAATGAATGCCGCCTAACGAAACACAAATACATGTGTAAATGGCTGTATAAATTTGAATTTGGAATTCCCAACTAAGGAGAAGAAATTTGTGATTAAAGTGGCCAGTACTACAAAATGCCAATTTCATATGTAAGGACCTAATATTAAACTTTTGATAAATATAAAAATTTGTTCTAATTATTATATTTTATCATCATATTTTACTATTACCCCCATTTACTATTCAAAATAATGTAACTATGCATTGCCATCTAAACTAAATATGTGCAAAGTTTGAGCTTAATCGATTAAGGATTGAGGACCGCATTCAACGGAGAGCGACGCGAATCGTCGATTAACCGGACACTTCAAGTCGGCTTGATCCGTTGGCCCTGTGTAGAGATGTTGCTTCACTGTGCATCTTCTATCGCATTTACTACGGGGAATGCTCCGAGGAATTGTTCGGACTCATACCTGCCGCTACTTTCCACGATCGTTCTACGCGACAAGACATCCACGCCCATCATTTGGATGGTTGGAAGTCCTCAACTGTGCGTTCGTCTAGAAGTTTCCTGCCTCGCACAGTCAAACTCTGGAACAGTTTGTCGCCAGCGGTATTTCCGGACCGATACGACCTACAAACTTTCAAGCTTAGAATATATTCGTCCCTTAAAGGTCGGCAGCGCGCTTATAGCTCCTCTGGTGTTGCAGGTGTCCATTGGCGGCGGTAATCACTCACCATCAGGTGATCCGACTGCTCGTCTGCCCCCTATCCCACAAAAAAAGGATGACTGCTTTAAAATTCAATTGAAAGGTTTTACGAGCGTAGGGACATATGTACCTATATTGCAATAAAATTAAAATACACTGCGTTGTGATGAAATTAAAACACTCACTGCTTCGAATGAAATGTGTTTACAAATAAACCTTTAACAAAATTCTGTAATTTGTATTGAAGAATAATTTTATGTACCATATTTAAAAGTAGTTCTATTTCCTTTCTTATGTAAATAGCGAAAAGGTAAACAGACATAGGGGGTAAAATTTTCAACAGCAGGCAATAACAGTATAAATTACCCATTTTTTCGTTCAATCGGTCATACGCATATATTCAATCTTTGTTTAATTTGACGTAGAAATAAGAGAGACAAACATACAAAACCATAAGAAAAATGTTATTTGCAAAGCTACATCCTGATTTCTAAAAAGAGCTACACTTTTTGGTGTGTCTGTTGAATCGGATTGCTTTTCTAGTTATTAAACTCATTGTTGTATGGTTATAAAGAATAATTAATAAATGATACGGTGGCTTTTAAATCAAACGTTTCGTGTCTAGAATTAGCAAAAATAAAATTAACGGACCGCTATCTAATGCCGTTTATTTCAGTAAATAATTTCCTGTAAATATTTTAAAATACTTCCTCATTAAACGAACTTCAATAATAGAGAATCAGGGGTTGGCGACAGACCGCGGAGGGTTTTATCCGGACCGCGGACCACCAAAGATTGATAATGTCCACTGGGTTGCCAACCAGAGCACCAACCAAGGTAACATTGGTCGGGCGCACGAAGCGTGTGATCCACACGGTTGCCACCTAAGCGTTCCGAGCTGACTGACTTTGGTGGGAAGTTGTTTTCCGACCTATAGCATAATTTTTTTTTTTTAAATATATCCATATCGAGAGTAAAGCGATCATAATATTGAAAAATGGTAAAATGGATTGGCTTATTAAAGCAATGAGAATTATATAGAAAAATATTTCATGACTTCATGACCCACAAGCTTTTAGGCCAAATTGACATTTTCTGTACAAAATTAATAAAGCAGATATTTTAAACAAGTTCTTATTATTTTATAATTATAAACAATTCCTAATAATAAAATAATAATTCCTAATAGGGATAACCTTCGTGATATTCCAAATTGTGCGTAATATTTACGTATCGACCTTTGGGTTTATTTGGCGTAACCATAAACCATTTAGACAGAATTAATTGATATACAATTTTTCTCAGATTTTGTTTCTCTATCGATCAGCCAATTCGCCAAAAGATGTTAATACGCCCCAAAATTATTTCGTCATAAAATGTTCTAAAAGATTAATTGTCAATGTAAAAACCGAATGCATTTTTTTAGTTTTGATGTAACTGTAACTAATATAATTATTATCCAAAAATTATATATCAACTGGTTTTTATACACTGTTAGTGATTAGGCCCACTAGTTGGTGAGGAGCAGAATCGTCTTACAGCAAGCATACTCTTATATAATGCATGTAAAACGTTTGAAATATTGTATTGAGCATTAGCCTACTAATGTCTCCACTGCTGGGGTCGAATCGCAAATATTAAACATAATGTGAGTAAGCCATCAACATTTTTACCTAAAAAATATACAGTACTCGAGTATTAATAAATAATAATACAGTATTTCTCGTTATTCATCTAATAATAATGTATAATAATATACGTTTTGAAATATTACGTCCCATTAAAGAAAATAACTCTCTTTTCCACGTTCAGCCCACTAAAATAATCAAAACTATTCAGATTTTAGTTCGCAACACTAGCTACTTCCGCAAAAATATCGACATACCAACACTATTAACGACATCAATTTAGTTTCTTTAGTTGTCACTTAATCAAAAAAAAATACTTTTAATACTATTTTATTATATATATCATATATTTAAAATCAGATAGAAATACTAGTAATTAAATATTATTATATTTTTTATTCGATGTATGAAAAAAATTAAGATGAATCACAATATACTATTGTCAAACTCAATTTTGCCTAGTCATCTACTGTAATAACAAAACGCTTCAAAATTGATTTTGTTTTCACTTTTTCTATTAATTATTTTTATTGAAATTAAGTTAGAAATATCCTATACTAGGCAAAAACGATAATTTAATTTGTTATTTATATAAGCTTATATATAAAAAGTAGAAAATATTAACCATAAAGAATAAAATACTCAATTTAACTAAACGCACCACTGACAGTACTGCGCAGAAGCGCGCCTTTACGCAGCTTTTATTACGCAGTTGGTAGAATTGAACTGTTTCCTCCAAGCCGTGACCGGACGCCATTAGCACGCCACCGGACAAAAAGCTGTCATAGTTTGTCTTTATTGTGAAAATTGAAGGTTTTTTTCGTAAATTTTAATAGTTGTGTTTATAATTCTCAAAAGTAAAGTTTCTTCAAAATGTCTGATGAAAAAAAGGTACGTAAATCAATGTAATATCAGTGTTATACATTTGAGTTTCGACATGGCGTTTTTCTAAAAAAATGTGGTTAGGTATTTTCTCTTTGAATACACAGTACATATCTGCCTACAATAAAAGTAAAATTGTTTGTAACGTATCGTTTTATAATTTCCAGGGAGAAAGCGAACACATCAACTTAAAAGTATTAGGTCAGGATAATGCTATTGTCCAGTTCAAAATAAAGAAACACACGCCTCTGAGGAAACTGATGAATGCATATTGCGATAGAGCGGTAAGTGTATTCCTCCATTATTCATAATTGTGTTTTTTTTTATTAGTTTATTATTGGAAGAAATTATATTTTTCTATAAATTTTGTATTTCACCGGTATCTCACTGATGGCAATATACCCGAATGACGCTATCGTGTTAACCTTTTCTATTACATATAATTTTAGCAAATAACTATGACGTGAGATATATCCGTCACAAAATACCGTCAATCGGCATCTGAATATTTTAATAAACTATTTTTTTTATTATTTTGTGCAATCTTGTAAAGTAAGCATGTGTGAAAGTGCAAGTTTTCGTTATTACAATCTAAGCTATTGCATAAATATCTAAAACCAAATTGTAGAGTTGAAATGCTAGTATTGATAAACTTAAAAATATTTAGTAACACAACCGACCAGACCTGTGAGATACAAAAGTTTATTGTTTTATTGAGCTCCACTGCAAATTAAATCTCACATATTAAGTATTGTTGTATATCTAATCTCATCAGTTGTGGAATATAACTGGCACATCGTATGATATTGATGGAATATCCATATTGCAATGGATCATTTTGTGAGACGCTTAACAAATCTTTGGTCAGCGTACAAGCCTTTGATATGATGATATTTTGCTTGTGACAATACTTACCAGTAGAACAGAGATACAAAGATCTCATTTATTTAGATTATTACTAAGTGTAGGTGTAGAATCATTATGTTATATAAATAAATTAGTCTCCGCCTTGTATTAACAAGGCTTGTAACTCTTTTTAATAAAGCTATAGTTATAATAAAGCTTATGTTAGTGGGTATTGATAAAATGCATTTGAAGATCTGATTTCTTTTGCCACAAATAAATCAAATGTCCAGTAAATGATGATGTTAATCTTGAAATATTTTTTTTTTTATTATTTAATGTCACTGTTTTATCAAATGTTTATAGATGTTTTATGACCAATTTACATTTCTTAATAGTCTTGTTTGAGTAGTTGCAAAGCATTGATTTAAAATCAAGTGGAGAAATGATTTATACAATATTTAATATTAAAAAAAAAAATATCCTGCCAAATATGTTTCAATCTGTGTTTATTTTATATGAGGAGTTTAAAAATTTTACTTTTTAACTTTCCGATTATATGTATCAAATAACTAAAACAGTAATGACTATTCTGTTTTATACTATTTTACCCAGTCCTCATCCCTATTTGTGAATCCTAATAAATAGCGATGACGACTGGGTAAAAATATTTAGTCAGTAAGACATATAATAGAAAAATATTAGATACATATTTTTTATGCTTCAATTTGAACAAGAGATGGCTTTGATAATAAGCATTAAAGTTGAAGAGTGGGGCTCACTACTACACAGTTTTGTAGAAAATATACATGACGTCATGATACAATATTTCAACTCAAAGCATTGCCTCAAACTCAAAGCAAAATAAAAAAAATGAGTTTAAAGTTCTTCAATAGTGTGAGTCAGACAAACTAACAAAAATTACTCATCACACCTATTGTTCCTTAAGGCACCTTAGCTTTAGCTCATGATTGACACAAATTAAGTCACATAATTCTAAAGGAATATCTGTATTACAATTCAAACATGAGCTCTTCTTTTCTATGGAGTTTAAATCATAAAGAGTACATTTTTTTATCTTAAAAAATGACAGAAGGTTTAATGATGACAAAGCGCTAATGAATGTTTAAAATTTCAAAATTTATATCAGTAATGTTGCAACAAATCAAGAGTCATCAATTTAAACATGAAAACTTAAATGAATGTTTGTGCAACGGGCAGACTATTACACAAAAGGGTTGGTGTGTCATACTAGTGTTAAACTCAGACACCTCTCTGCATATCCACCCTGTACTAAATTTATATGTTGCATTTAAAATCATATAAACTGATTTTCTAATTTTCATTTCAGGGTCTATCAATGCAAGTAGTACGATTCAGATTCGACGGGCAGCCTATCAATGAAAATGACACGCCTACATCACTTGAAATGGAAGAGGGCGACACAATAGAAGTGTACCAGCAGCAGACTGGTGGAGCGTTTTTAGTGTAATTATAGCATAAGGAACTGTCCATTTCCCATGGGAAGATCGCTGTGGTGTGCCCATCTCAAACATTTTACATTTAAGTTAATTTTAATAACTATGTTGGTATCTGAAGAATGACAGAAGGAAATTTCAGGACATGAAATTATTGCAACATATGCTCCTGAGGTTTTCCTCTTAATTAGGACGAAATGTGGTATGCCAAATACAAGTAAAAAGAATTCCATTGTGATAATTTTTAGTTGACACGTCTAATACAACAGCCAGTATTTTTTTATGCTGAGGTACTAAGGCATTTCATATTTCTTTATGTGGTAACATGTAATTTATTGGACATGTGTCCATATCAGTTAAAAGTCTGTAACCACTAATGTACCTATCTTCTGAAATAAAGTAAATGTAATAATAATGTGTATTTAATTTTCCCCTCAAGCTGCCCACTAATATTTGTACGTTTCGTACGTTTGATGATGAATTTGTGAGTTGTGATAAATATCCATAATAGAAACTGCTCTGGAGTAGTTTACATCTGGATGTACGGCGATTGAAAAATGTGACAGTAAATTCACTTTCACTATGCACAGACTCCTATCGCGTAGTGTTCTACTGCTCTGCACTGTCTTACAAATGCTACTCTGAAGTTTTACGCGATCGTCAGCAGTAGCCGCAGACATCAATGTATACCAAACTTGATCCTTCAATATGTATCCATGTGTTTCCATCTGTTTGCATATGTTTTATGGATAGATTTATTCCAGAAATTCTTATCTACCAGTTAGAATTGTTATTATTTGTTTAGCAGAAAAGTCCAGTTTGAAGAGAAATTCTGGAAAAATGGCGTGTTAGAATTTCTAGTATAATGCGCTTACGCCACCGTATCTTGCATAGCACGAATCTGGTCAAAAAAATTGCCAAATCAGCCCTGCGATTCTGTAAAACTCCAAACCCGAATTCTAATTCTCTCAGGTGTCCGAATTAACTTCAAAAAGAGGCATACGCTCAACCTTGAATTGGTAATAACGTTTCGTAGCATAAGTGAAGTGAGTTTCGAAATGATATAGGAATAGAATATCTGAGACACGTGTATTCAATCAATTTTGTTTTGTATTTTTATACAAAAAAAAATGGAATCAATAGAATTTTTACACTAAATAACGTGAATTCGGACACATGAGTGAATTCGAATTCGGGTCTGGATTTTTGCAGAATCGCAGGGCTGTCTCTAAAAATATGCCGTAAAAGTGAGACGTTTCTACGAGATAATGAAAAGCGAATATTTAGGTACCTAATTATTAAAGGCACTCCTATGAAATACGTAAAACCACGTAGACGTGTAGAATGATAAAGTCGAAAAACTTCTACACCAAATGTCACTTAATTCCGGTTGAGAGTGAGATGTGTATGGGCGCACCCAAAAAGTGGTATTTGGGTATAGATAAAACGTTTTCAAGTTCGTCATACAACGCGTGCAAAAAACTTGTGTAGACAAAGCGTTTCTCGAGTTTAAATTACAGTGACTAAGTAATTCAATATTCCATAAATTACGTCACACGAATTACATGATTTGTAACCCCCCGATAAAACGCTAAGTGGGTTATATATTTAGCATGATAATCCTTTTTCGTTTCAGCAAACACTGCACAGTATGCCCACTACGTTTTTAATACATTGGACCAAGATAGAAGTGGCTTGTTAAGTTTTGAGGTGAGGAGTTTGATCTATTTTCTTTTATTATATCAGGTAAAACATGTAGTATACCTCCACCTCCACGTTTCACCTCCACCTCCACATTTTACCTCCACCTCCACGTTTCACCTCCAGCTCCACGTTTCACCTCCACCTCCACGTTTCACCTCCAGCTCCACGTTTCACCTCCAGCTCAACGTTTCACCTCCAGCTCCACGTTTCACCTCCAGCTCCACGTTTCACCTCCAGCTCCACGTTTCACCTCCAGCTCCACGTTTCACCTCCAGCTCCACGTTTCACCTCCAGCTCCACGTTTCACCTCCAGCTCCATTTTCACCTCCAGCTCCACGTTTTAAAATAATACGTTATAGAATCATATAACCCACATCTAGAGCTGGGATTGGGTGTTAACAACTGCCAAATGCAATCGGGACTAACGGCTTAACGTGTTTTCCGAAGCACAGACGAACTCTAAATAATACCGTCAAACATCAGATGATTGGTACCAGTGAAAAGTGCTTACATTTAATAAAACCAGAATTCTAAAAGTCGTTGTAACACAAATATTATAGCCATGGCCTTATAATATGCATGCTTTGACTTTAACGCATCATCACCAGCAGCCCTATTTTACGTCCCCACTGTAGGGGCTCAGGCTTTCCTTAAAGGATGGTTAAGGAGGATCGGCAATGACACGTAACACTGGCCCAATGCGCATTGGAAAGTGTTAACGACTGCAAAACATGCCTTCCGAAGCACGGAGTAGCTCGAGATAATATTTTTGGTCCATCCCTTACAAAAGTTGTTTAACTACAACGAATGGGAGCCGCGGCGCTTATTCACTACGTCACCGAGCAACTCACTACTTGCAAAGCCGCTACATTTAATATAGCTTCTAAAACAACCTTTTTGAATTTACAAAAAATTTGAGTCTTAGTCTTCCTTCATTCAAGCCTATTTTCATATCAGACCTCTCATCAAATTTTCAGGAATTCGTTATGGGATTATCGATACTGTCACGTGGGACTCTAGAAGAGAAACTACGCTGGACATTCTCCCTATATGATATCAACGGAGACGGGTGTATCACCAAAGAAGAAATGACAGAAATCGTGACGGCAATCTACGATCTCATGGGCAAAATAGTAGAGCCTATGGTCGACGACGAAGTTGTCCGAGAAAAAGTCGAAAGGCTGTTTCAGGTAATGGCAATCAAAGCATTAGTTTTATTTGTTTTGCCTCATAATGAGGGCTGCCGTATTTTCGCTCACCAGATGGCGCGACAGCTCCTGTTAAAGTTTGTTCACTACGAGATTGAGTAATAAATCATTTTATTAAAAATAATCGAACATGCCCAATAAACACTAACCTCCGATTTAGCTGTTCTTTAATCCCGCTTATTAAACATTCATTGAACTAATAATAATTCGTAATTTCTTTAATAAATCTCAGGTACCCCAAAATATAGCTCGATGGCGCAATGGCTAACGCGCCCAGTCTGCGATACGGTTGTTAAGCAACTTTCGCAATAGCTGACCACCCATCCTGGGTGACCAAAAATTTACTATCTCGAACTCCTTACGTGCAGAAGACCCGTTTAGCCGTTGGTTCCGGCTACATCTTCAGTCGTTAATACCCACCAAGCACTGGGCCCGCGTGGTGGATCATGGACCGTTCTCCCTATTCGATTCGATTCCAGCCATAGGGAAGACCTGAGCCCCATTAATAAGCTACTGATGATAATCATCATCATCAGCCCTTTTACGTCCCCACTGCAGGGGCTCAGGCCGGTTAAGGTTAAGGAGGATGGGCCATGACCCTCCACGCTGGCCCAATGCGGATTGAAGGGTATTAACGACTGCAAATGCAGCCGGATCCAACGGCTTAACGTGCCTTCCGAAGCACGGAGTAGCTCGAGATAATAATTTTTTGGTCACCCATCCCATAACCGACCCTTGTGAAAGTTGCTTAACGACTATGATCACGGGCCGCGGCGCTAATTCATTACGCCACTGAGCTACCCTGTGGCCCTATAATGATGGCCCCAAAATAAGCGCAATTATTCGTTAAATTGAAAAGATATTTGGAAGACCTCATGCTACACTAGAGCCACTAGTGGCAAATTGAAACGCGTTAGCCTTCATTACGGGAAACGAACTTTTCTATATGTATTGTCTCAGGTCCGGTCTGAAAAGATCTGGGTGTCGCGGTACCTTCACTGTATCTAATGTTCAACATGTTTTTATTTTGGCTATTTATAATTGTGTCCTACCGAAAAAATGAGGTTTTCATCTAATAAGTAGTTCATGGCCGGATAAGATTAATCCATGATAGCGTTTAATAAAAGAAACTATATCTAAGTAGTTACCATGAACAGCACGTCAGGCACAAAACTGTCAAATTTTGTAACTTAAGTAAAATGAATCAAGGAAATTTGAAATATTATGGTAGCCTGAGTTGCAACCTTAATGTGACTATTATTAATTTTGAATGTGACCCCCAGAAGATGGATCTCAATAGAGACGGCGTCCTGACGCTAGACGAGTTCCTGGACTGCTGTTTAAGAGACGAAGAAATATCAAGATCAATGGGTGTATTCGACAGCAACTTCTGACGGCCTGCAGCCGGCGCGCGCGCACGTCCACGCCGCGCCCCGTAACGAACAGAACAACAAACTTAACTTATAAGAGCAAGGGTTATTTTCATCGTACCTTTTTAATTATCTACTCGATAAACATTATAAAGAACACGCTTGACTAACATTACTGACCTACTTTCTAAGCGCTCTGACAAAATATCTGCTTTAATTCATATAATAAAATTCCTCATACTCTAGTTGTTGAAAGTTCTAATGTGTCAGAACATTACATACTTAATCTACTGTCGATTTTATTATAATGACGCTGACAAGTGTCTGTGTACTACGTATTATCGAATAGTATTGTCGTAAAAACTTAATCTGGTAGTGTGAAATGATTTTTTGTACAAAAACTAAGCAAACAAATTATCAATGTAGATAGACAAATTGCAAAAAAAAAATACTGTAGTTATTAATAACCTCAATGTTTTTATTTCTAACTCTAACCTTCTCAGAGTATCTATTGTAGAAAAATTTACTATTTTATCTCTTAGATTTCTACTATGTACTTAAAAATTGCTATGGAGCAGTCTATAATTACAGGTCCGTAAGAAATTCAATAGGTAATTACTTGCCGAAATTTTTAAATCGTAGTTTTCTCTGAATGTGAGTACGTTCCGTAGAAAATCTCTGATCTGATATAATAAACTGATGAGTATATATCTTACACCTAATTTATATTTTGGAACTTTCCTTTATTTTATTTATTTTTTGTTATATTCTTCCTTTCTTCTAGAATTCTACTAAAACTAGATATGAATCGAAAAATCTTTTCACTGATTTCTCTTCTTTTTAAAAAGTTCCGGCCATTTTTTATAGATGTTTAGAGTATAAAGTTTGATTTAGGGTGTTTATAGTTATACCAACGATTGTTTAGATACTAATAATTAATTCTAGGCAGTGAATTATTAAGATAAGCATTTTGGTTCATATACTTTTCCGTTACCTTACCTTATTAAAACAACTAGATACCTTTTTAATTAAATGGCAATATCGAATATTAGCTACTAAGCCTGGGAGTTACCATGCTTGAATGTCTTAAAATTATTCCAAAAACACCTACCAGTTAGAATCAACTTTTTCTAAAATTCCTCATTTTTTGAATTATTTCATAAAAGCTTACTTACTAAAGGCGTTTAATTTTTTCCAGAATTCCTCACTAGTTAATGAATCCCTACTAGGATAAGAAATATATAATTCTCAGTGATGGGGTGTTAGGATTTTTGTAATAAACGATTCTTTGCACCACATTTATGAATCCAACAATTCTAAGTAATTTTGACGTTACCTTTGCAACAGTATTACCATCACATCGATATTATCACAATATTTTATAAAGCATCCGGAATTATATTCCTTTGAGATACGTCTTGTGTATACAAAGGTTTATTAGGAGCTATATTTTTCATCAATTCATTTTGATCGTTGTTTAGTTATAAGCAAACAATGTACACATAGGTTTTATTTTAATCTTACAAAGATATTGCCTTAATGTTTTTTGGTCTCAGCAACATCAAAATTTATTAACGTTCTTTTAAATAAATAAACAATTACAGCGATTGAAGCTCTGAACAGATAAATATCCATTTCCATTAAGGCCTAAAGACCAGAAATATTACTAATAAGAGCATTTAATAATGCAGAAGATGAAACACTGCCATTAATAAAACCGAACGCCTAGATCCGATCCAAAATTACTATACTATTAATATAAAGTGGAAACATTTTATGGTTTGTTTGCATTGTAATATATTGTAATTGATTTCGTATTTACACTAGACCCATTTTAATTTTATCTGAAGTTGTATTATACGCGTGTGAGATAGCTTAAATAATTTGGAAACTAGTGAGTACCAAAATGATTCAATAGATTGATAGTTTATTGACTTTGTCGTGGCGACAATAATTTGAAATATCCTTTGGTTATATAAATCTAAAAAAATATTTTTATTTATACAAAATCATATATTTACATATTTCCAAAACTTATTCTTCTTCCAACTTGTCATGTTATTCAATCATAGATTGATGTTCAATGAATCAAAAATATTTTCTAAGATAAATATTATTACATGTAAATATTATTGTATATAAAAGTTAATATAGATTTTAAATGTGTATATTTTCATAGTGAACATTAAATGGAACCAAATAAATAGAAGGCATAATAAATAGCGTATTTAATTCAAATTAAGGATGTTCAAAGTCGTGCAAGTTAAAAACCTAGTTTATGAATAAATGTGATTAAAGAAAGTGATGTAAACGAATGAAACATTATTAGAGTTACCGTTAAATTTTATTTTTAATTAAAAGATATAACTATTATTCATAAACTGTACCGCAAGGATTTGTATTGGGTTCCTACTTTTATTATTTTATTGGTAAATTTTAGTAATTATTGGTCGAGCTTAAATAGATAAGAGATTTACTTACCTGTGTATTTGTCTTCCTAAACTGATTATGTTTCTTCTAAAAGGAAGTCCCTTATCCTATTTCAAAATTATTAACATCACGGCATAAATACATAATGTTTGTATTACAACTGTACAAATTGATATCTAGTCTCAATTTTTGCACGAATATGGATTATCACTTAAGTCAGTATTTAAGTATATTACATTGTAAATTATTTTGATTGATGTGTGCAAGTAATCAAAAAAAATAATTGTATTGCAGATGCCTGTACGAACAGCTGTATATTAACAGTAGCTAAATATTGAAATAAAGTCTTATGAAATTAGATAATTTTAGAGAAATGGACGTGCTACACGAAAATCATTATTAGTGCGATAATATAGTATTTATCTTGATCCCTAATTATTTTCCTAATAGGATGTGATTAAAAGTGAGTAATAAACAATTGTTAATATTAATTTTGTTATCGCAGAGAAAATTTACATAGAATACCTATTTACCCCTGTCAATATTCAAGAAAAATATTACTTAGTGCCAAATTGTAACGGTATTTGTCTACCCCTTCAATCTAGCTACAAGCAATTTTAATTAATGATACAAGGTTTTTTTATGAACGTTCGATTAAAAGGTACAATAGGCCTATTTTTAAATGTATAAATATGGATTTGTCCTTATCATCTATAAATGTACTAGTATGAAATCTACAGGTATTTGATGTTAGTTAATTTAGTGTAGCTAAATTTCTCTTACACGCATATTAAATATGTTTTAATTTCCTATTTTTATTATTTTTATGAAAATTACTTTTGGATTACTATCTTAAGTCGTCCTGTGTAAACTCGCGGAACAACTACCAAATCTTGTCTGGTAGCTTATAGCAAGACATAATGATTAAATATAATTTATAATTTACTAAGAAAATACGTATATAAAATTGCCCTTATTTCCTTGAGCATTTAACTTCTAAAAGATCTTTAGATAACGAATGCACCATAACACACAACAGCAATCTATCAATAGTAAAGTAAATATTACGGAATTAATAGGGGTGTAGACAACTTTTTAAAATATTTTTATTTTATAGATATACATGAAATATATCTTAAAAATAATAATAACTTAGAAAAATCAACCTTATAAAGAACGATATTCGTTTCAGAGTGCCGTGACGCACGACAGAAGTGGCGTTTTTGCGGGAAATTTTGGAAAATAATTTATTTTTGATTTTAACTTGTTATATGAATGAAGTTTTTTAAATATATAATAAAGTTGTCTACTCCCTTATTGAAGTGGTTTAAGAAAGTGCTCAAAGAAAAGTTCCATACAAGTAATGGATATATACAATGTTTAATATTGTATGGGTACATCTCACTCTGTGTCAGTTTATCGAATTCGTCATGTTACTCGTGGAGTGTCTCATGTCAACCATGTTGGCAGTAAACCTATCGCCTAAATTAATCTATTTTTATGTTATCACTTGTAGGTGAGGGAACTTCTGAAAAGAGTCTTTTCAGAATGCTGTAATTAAACCATTCTCAGAAACTCAGAGCGTTCCAACAAACTATAATACACACGAGAACCGCTTAAAGATGGCAAAACCAAATTATTCGTTGTACTATCTGGTTAGTAGTTTAGTTTCATTTTCATATGAATCCATATATCCATTTATTCTAGTAAAATTAATCATTAGTACGAAAACAATTGCTAATAAAAAATAACATATCAATCATCTGACATTTGACTCAGTCGCTCATGTCTCATATAAGTATACTAACAGTACATAAGTTCCGGTGTAACTTTAAATATTATTTAAGATACCTTTAGTAATGTTACCTTTTTGCTGCGCAGTGATTCGGCAAGTTAAATTTTAATCTAGCCATATTTTATTTAGTGTGGTAATAAGTATCGACCTTTTCATCAACCCAGTTATGTTCATAAACCGTATATGTATTTAATTAGATAATCGAATATCGAATGTTTTATTTATAAACTGTATGCGTGTTTTATAGAAAAATAAATAAATTGATACAATATAAATGTGTTTTTACTAGAACTAGATAACTACCACAAACAATTTTGTTCAATTGTTTTAAGATTTTTTATTAGGCAAACAATTTAAATATTCTACTCCAGTCCTTTAAATTCAGAATGACCAATTCCCGAAAATATGAAAAATAAATATGTAACAGATAATTGAGTAAGTTCTCATGGCTCGTCTTAAAAGTATTGAACATTAACAACCATGCTATATATTATTTATCCGTGTATTCAACAAACATGAAATCGTGATACTAGATTGACATTTTAGGAATTGTAATTTTCAGGGATCGGAAAACTTTCTATAAAGTATTTTTAATAAAAGAATATGGACGGCTTATTTCCACATAAAAATAATATAATGTACCCAAAACTTTGTCTAAAATTTAACTGTTTAAAAAACCGCGTAAACGGCGACTCGGAGGACGACACGTCCTTACCTTTGTGGGGTAAACAAAAGGGATTTTCAGTGAAAAATAATGAATCATCGTCTGCAGTACTTTTTTTTGAACGCAAAAATGTATAAACCCCTTCTAACCTGTTAAAAATCAAAAATGTCTTTAACATTATTTTGCATTTTGAATATTTCCCGCACTTTTCCGAGATAATTTTACTACCAATTATTAACCCAGAAATGACATCACGCGGTCCGATTGGTATTTCATTTGACGTGAGACACAGCCTGCGTAGAATATGTAAACGATACGTATCGTTATCCATGTGTATAGTGGAATCAAAACAAAGAAGTTAGCGGAAACGATACAGTTGTGTACATGCAATAAATAACGTTTCCTTGGCGACACGCATATTTGTGAAATTGTCCGTTTTCGCCTGCCCTAGAAAACACTATGGTACATTACAGTTATAACCGAAACCGTCCGATATGTGGCAAAACCTACGCATTATAGTTCTGCTCTTCTCATTGCCAAAGCTAAAACAGCACCACATGCTTCTTAAAACGTGAACAATCTCAATAAAAGCGTATCATTGACGAGTTGTAGTATATATTAGGGCTAGAGAGTAAAATTACTTTCATTTCAATTAGGAGTGGGCGACATAAGTACTTTACAGCATTACAAAACAGTGTTTGTAACATTTTTTTTTATGAAATTGAAACCCTTTCCTCATATATATATATATAAAAAATCATAACCAAGGAAATTTTATTGTACTAAGAATTTATTAAATAAAATTTCATTACATACTAAAATTTAAAAAAGAAAAACATACTGTTCTTCTAAAATTAATGCGATATCAAAATACATTTGTAAATACAATTATTATATGAAAATATTGTGTGCTTTTATAAATTGAATATATTCTTAATTATCATATTTTATAAGTGGCAAGTTGAAGTTTTAAGTAAGTTATTACAATATTGTGATAAAAAGGCGGAATTGTCTTCTTATGATTAATACAACCAGAACATTTCAAATTTGAGCAAGATCCTTAATTTCATAGAAATATTAAGAAAAATATCCCTAATTACTTAAAATTAAATCATGCTTTTGAAGCTTATAAATTTGAGGCACACACTTTATCATTATAAACGTGATAATTAAGTAATAAAAAATAAGTCAGTATACATATAAGTATACAGTACAAAAATACATAAAAATGTTTTTGTTATTATCAATTCAATTCACTATGAATTTAGTGATAACACTAAATTATAATGCATAGACATATACTATAATGTATGAGAAATTCATTGTGTAAAAAAGAAATAAAAATTGCCATAATTATTACTGTTCCATGTCAATGAAAAAAAAAAAACTAAAAAACACAAGTAGAAATGAGGATAACTAGATTTTGTCCTAAAACTTAAAAATATTTCACTATATATAATTTTAGATAATTTAGAGAGCTAATTAAAAATTCGAAGTCTCCGGTGGTTCATATGGCAACATTAACATTAATCTCATAACCTGTAGCATTAACTACTTAATTATACTATGCAATATTCAACAAAGATGAATTACTACTATTCGAGATCTTTATGAATATTTCATATCTCTTCAATAATAAATCAAATACTATTCATATATACTTGATATGTACATTACTAAAGCTTGACAACTAAAAAAATATTGACACGAATGAGACTTGCGACCTCCCTTCCTTAATCTAGGCGTGTCTGCTTCAATAGTTTTCAATATATATTATGTTATAAAACGTGATAAATATGAATGATATAAACACACCATAAATGCTCTAATTTCAAATGTACATTAATAATCTAGTATATCCTCTAGAAACACAAATTTACATTAGTGTTCATGTGTTATTTCATTGTCAGTTAAAGAATTTTAGGTATGATAACAGATGGTACCCTTTTGCAATATCTACTCCATGCAGCCCCATAGCGTCTGTTGCAGCGAGCATGATCCCGCCACGCTCTATGTAGGAGCACTAATACTGTGAAAAGTGCTGGCATTGCAGCGACACAGTGTTGCGAGAGGAGTCCTGGTAAAGCCATCGCTATATGCATCAAGATGTCACCGGTGTAGTTTGGATGGCGTAATATACCCCAAAGATTTCCCACCAATAATTTATTTCCATGAAATGTTGGCATTGAATCTAAATCTGAAAAAAGTAATTTGTTAATAACCATATCTCATAAATTAGACAAAATTGACATGTGTTTTCAAGTTAATTTCAATAAATTATTATATTTATTCAAGTTTGCAATTACAATAATATTAGGTATACATTTTAGTTTATAATAGCATAGTGCCCCAAAGCTTAATTATGAAAAAGTTGAAAATGCCTGAAAAATATAACTTACTTGTGATACTTGAGTGAAGAGAATTGTTTCTGAATTCATGTTTAACATTATTACTAAGAAGCATTATCAAGAATCCCAGCGCATACAGTACAGAAGCAGAAATTAAAATGTTAGTTGGTAATACAAGTTGAGAATCTACCACAAACTTAGATATTGTTGTGAAGTAGAATGGATACAAAGCACTGGATACTGTCTGAAGGTATCCTACTCCTTCTGATTGCCAGAAAAATGTTGTGGTGACCCTATGTTCCTTCAATATGAAGTTCATTATGTATATCAGTTGAAAAAGAGAAAACAGAAGAATTGTTGGTTGTACATGCAGTTTGGTGGGTAAATCTTGAAGGCCATGATATGATATATCTTTTATCTCTAATGCTTCTAGCTTGTATCCTTGTCTAAATATGAGTGTTGTCAATATTAGCTAAAACAAAGGAAGCATTTTATTATAATGAATACAATTAAAATATCAACTAAAATTAATAATTACAAAGCCACAAAATAAATATAACTGAATTATTATTTTAACCATAAACCTATGAATACATTATATTATACTTTACCACCCAAAATACTTACTGTATTGATATTTGAAATCCTTGATATCCAAATTTTTATATCCAATTTTTTCATGAATGGATGTATTTCTCTACCCATAAAGAAATCATATAATACATATCCTGTGTTTCCATAAAGATTCAGTTCAGTATTGTCAACTTTCTTGCTCTTCACATACAAAACAATGCTCAATAGAACAGCAAAAACATAAGATACAGTGGCCAAGCTAACAAAGTCAGTCAACAATGTTTTGATATCTATTACTTTATAGTAATCCATCAAATACACAAAAATCACTGTAATAACACTTGCAAAGGTTGCATTAAAACAGTACACAGTGCCTGTATCATCTAATCTATTAGCTTTTTTTCCAAACATAGGAATAATAGCCAACAAAGCTTGCAGCACATATTGAGTGACAACTAACAAAAATGCCTGTTTGCTAAACCATAATCCAGGGAATCCGTATTCATTAAGATTCAAAAGTGCTTCAGTGGAACATGATTTTGAACATGATATTAATATTAAAAACACAAGCAGCGGTATCAATAACATAAGTGCTGCTGTACCAATCCGTCCTCCAAACTCCCACTTGCTTCCACTTAGTAAATGCTTACTCTCACTTCCTCTTAAAGGCGTTGCTAATTTTCTTGTAACAGGTTTGGACTTTTCAACAAAATGTTCATCAGCAGAGTTATCTTCATCTGAGAATGTATCAATAGATTGGCTGATGGATTTACTAACAGATTTACTTAACGATTTACTCATGCTTCGTCTTATGTCCGGCACACTTTCAATAAAGTCTCTCAGCCTACTAGATCTCCGTGGAGGAATGTCTTCAACAGATTTACGATTCCTTAGGCCATAAACATCAATAGAACCCAAACCGTTAACAGTATTGTTTGAAGTTATATCATTATCAGTAGTGCTTGTAACATCCTTGATGGAATACTCGATTCGTTTCGAGCGTGTACTGCGGTAAATCTCCAGCTTAGATGTCAAATCTTCTAATTTAACAGAAACGTCTGTTTTGATAGGCGGACGCTTGATCGGCGATTTCTGGGAAGCATTTTCGATAGAATCTTTGGTTGCTCTTGATGGTGACTTACGCGCGGGAAACTTAGATGACGGCTTACGACTCGGCGATTTCCGTGATGGTGATTTACGGTAAGAACGAGCAGGAGGTGAACTTTTTGTCGACGGAGAACTTTTCAGCGTCGGAGAAGTTTTCCGGGTTCTAGCAGGTGAACGAGGTGGTGATACGCCCTTTCGAGTCCTAGGAGGACTAGATTCTATAACACTAGCTCTCACGCGACCGCTTCTAGTAGACATGCTAGAATAAAATTACACAAATCGTTAAAATTAGACATTGTAGCTAAAATTAATATTACCACCCGGGAAGATAATTACCTCCTTTGTTAAAATATCAGAGTGGTAGCATAGATATCACTTTTTGAAACTTTCCAGTATTATTAGATATGTCACGTCACACAAAAACTGTCTAAACTAATAACAAAGCGGATTTTCTAAAACCACAACAAACACAAGGCACACGCTACGTAACAACGCCAAGCGCCGCGCCGCAACGCCAGAATAAATTTTAAAAAGCGCTCTTTGATTGGTTAAAAATAGGAACATAAAATCCATAGTCTATAACTAGGTACAACCGGAAGTTTATCAATCACTGTTATGTTGGCACCTTTCCATAGCTGAATAGCATGGGAATGGCTATGGGCACAGAATAATTGTCTAATTTATCTATGATAATGGAACTTATATGTTTTAACAAATTTTATTTCAAAATTAAACGAAAGATTGCAAGTAATCAAACAGTTTTAGCCGCAAAATTCGACATTTTCTTTGTTAGTCTACTGATGCTTATTTCTGCCGCAGTAGACATATACTTGCAGGAACACTCCTGTTTTAGACGAATCTGGAAATATTCATGTTCATCTTGTAACATGCAAAACAAGAGTTGCTTCAATAAAACAGGTTTCCATACCAAGATTAGAGTTGTGTGGCACTCTACTTTTGACAAAACTATTACATGAAGTCTCAGAGGTTGTAGTAGAATAAACCTTTATATATTATTAAATAAACTGAAAATTAATAGGCTTTATTCAACGAAATTTTACATGACAATCAATGATAGAATAGTCATATAGGCCTACCAGAATCTCATGGCAAATAGGGAAATTAAAATTTGATGTATGCCACACCAAGGAAATTGGAGTAAATGATCTTGATACTTATAATATTATTAATTATTTAAATTGTAATAAGAACATGGAAATTTTGATTTTGTACGTACATATTCACTAGCTTTGACCGATTTAGAGTTGGTACCTAAATTTCGATTGATTCATACTATTCATTGGTGAAAACTGTAGAATAATCTGTATAGTTTTTGAGTTTATCCATTAAAAACTACCAAATTAACAAACAATTCTATTCTCTTTATATTATTAATATAAATAATATATGTTCATAATAATAATACAAACATACATATAATTTTCGAGAATTTTATAAAGGGGGTGATTAAAAAACCTTATTTTATTTAGTTTATTCGGAACTCTAAAAACTCAATTTCCATTTCTTCTTCTTCGTCAGATGAAGAAGATGATGAAGATAATGAGGTATTTATAATAAACCTTTCCTCTATATCTTCAATAATCCTGTCTTTTTCTACGAACTCGTTTTCGATTCTTTGCACATCTTGACAACACTTTCGCCATTCCTCCACACCAATTTGCGAAAAAGCTTCCTCGGTTAGTGATTTGATATCACTTACAGGCCTATTTATATTTTTTTCAGCTACTTTTTGCTTCATTATTCCCCAAATCATTTTTATAGGATTAAGTGTGCAATAATAAAGTGGGAACCGTGAAACTTCATGACCACATGATTTGAACATTTGATCAATTTCGTATACAGGATCAGACTTGTTCTTCTGGACAGCTTCAATTAGTTTGCATTTACGCCACTTATACGCTCCATCAAAATTACTCTTTTCGATTGACATTTAACATATTCAAAGCCAATCACTTTTATAAGTCAGAATTAGTCTGAAAAATTTAAAAAAAAAAAATTTTTTACTTTTATTATGCTCGCTACATATTTATACTTATGTATAATTAATATTTATGTGCAAAATGGATTATACTGGTTTTGGGCAGCAGTGTCTCCCATCCTGAAACCACAGTCCGAATATATCATTGGCCCAGCGTGGTGACTACGGGCAAAACCCCCCAAATGGGCATGTCCTGGGGAGGCCTACGTCCAGTAGTGGACTACAATAGGCTGATGAAGATATTAATGTATATATTATTCAGACAATTCATTAATTATTATACATAGTTTGTATTTTACAGATATTTTTCCTCACCTTAATGATTCTCTTCCTCCTTGGAAGTTAATATCATTATGAAGATTTGTAAAATTTTCATTACTGTTGAAATTTCTTTTCATACTGTATATAGAATTCTTTCACTTTGTTCCTTATCAACTCTAAATCAAAACTATCTAAATTAATTCTTTTCTATCCCCCTCTTTTCTTTTTACCGGGCGTAGAAAATACACCATCATTTGATGTGCTTTCACTTATGATTTGGCATACAGTGGTACTGGAAACATCTAAAAATGCATTAAAATCTATTTAATACATAATCATTTAGTTTAAGTTAATGTTATAAAAAAATATAAAATGTATCAATACTATTCAGTTCAACTTACGGGTCAAATCCACGACGAGCTTTAAAATCGAAGATTGTGTTTGATTTTCACCTTCCTCCTCGCGAATTTTATTGTAGACATTGAAATCAATATTCCTCGCTTCGGAGTACAATAATTGATGGCTGTACATAGAAGAGACCTAATCGAATGTTACGACTGGGCTAAGACCACCTCCCATTTCGTTGATGGCAAATTATGAGTTTTTGGAGCCAACTGGATAGTTTTCCATATTATGCCGTTATATATCTTTGTCTGTCCAATGCCCTGAGGATTGTATGGCGTCGTATAGCTCGTTGCAATACCCTTCTGATGTAAGAAGTCTTTCATTTCTTTCGGTAAGATTGAGGTGTCTCGGTCCCAATGAATATAAGATGGCATCCCGAAGACAGAAAACAAATCAGTCAGTTTATCAATTACTGTGTTTGTGGTTAAACCATAACACGGATATGCGAAAGAAAAACGAGAGTACTCATCAACAATAGTCAGTATGTATCGATTCTTTCTAGAGCCGTCTGTTTATAGTGGACCTTTAAAATCGTTAGATAATATTTCAAATGGGGCCATTGCTTTTATAAGTGTTCCAACTTTTAGTTGAAAACGAGGTTTTAATTCCGCACATATTGGACAGTTTAAAGTGATATTTTTTATTTAATCTAAAGAGTAGGCAAGATTTTTGCTCTTGACCCAGTTAAACATTCTGTTAAACAACCTAACTCCCGGGTGGCATAAAGTATTATGGAGTTGCTTTAGTACAGTTTTTGAGGGACTTGCAGAAGCAACAATCGAAATGTTAACCCGTAATAACGCATCAGCAGCTACGTTCTCTTTTCAGGGCGACTATATCAAAATTATAGATGGACAATAGGGAATTTGACACTTTTCTGAAAACTATTTTAATTCGTTGTTTGCTAGATTATAAACACACTGTCATAATATTTCATTGGAATATTTTCTAATTTTGGTGAAAATAATTGTTAAAATTTAAATAGCCAAAAGTGCGCGAAAAATGCTTCTCTGTGTAATGGCGCTGATCGTGACGTCACAGGCATAGACATAAAAGAAGAGGACCGGCCATACCTACGAAAAAAGCTTATATGCCTAAACTTCAAATGCAAATTCTTCGATGGCGGATTGGCATAGGGCGTGACCCAAGATATCGATATTTGTATCGACATTGAAGTCATATTAAATAAAAGTTAGTATTTCGTGAAACTGCTACAATACTACTACTTATTAAATAATATAATATAATTTTCATTGTTAGGGGCATGGCTAAACTATTACCTATTACACTTCTATTCATTTCACACTTACGTACCAATCCTATTTATGATTATTATTAATTAAATTGAAAAATTCACGCCAGTATCAAGAAAATAATATTTTTTTAAAAGTGGCGTGAATTTATCAATTATTTATAAATCATTAAGCAATCTTTTGCTCGTATTTTGTTGGACATCTAAAATTTCTTGCGTTCTTTGTTCTTGCGACTCCGTTGCGTCACTATAGTAAATATAACATATGTTACCAGCGTATGATGGCGCTTCCCACGGGTAAAAGATTATTCGTATTCCAAATTTCATCAATATCCGTTCAGTAGTTTTTACATGAGAGTAACCAACATCCATCCTCACAAACTTTCACATTTATATTATTTAATAATATAATTTTATATGATTGTACCTCGATAAATATGTTTCTTTTTCCTCTAATTTAGCCAATTTTACATAGTTTTAAGAACTATAGTACCAAAATATATATCTTAAAAGTTTTACAATAATATCAATCGTGTTTTATAATTATTTCCATATATATTGTCAAGTTGACATTTTGCAATTGTAATTAAATCATATATTTTTTTTAACATAAGTTTAATTTTGCATCCACGGGAAGTGTGACTACTGTCCAAGATAACTACCACGGTAACTATAATAAGCTTTTAATGAGTCGATTGACGAATGAATTATTATGCTTTTTTTTGTCTGTTATATATTTTTTATTGTTTTGGTGGAAAGTGACATTTTGGTCCAATGAAGTCATTTTCTATTTTTCAGTACGAAATTAAACAGGGTGCAAAAGCAGCCCTTGCAGTTTCTTACCGGTTCCTTTCTTACAGTTTCTTCTTTTCTCGGTACAAGGTTTCCCGTAATAGATTGCTGAACTATAAGCACAGAGTTTCGACTTTCTTATATGCTTGTAACTAGTAAGCCAACTTGTCTATAAATTTATTCAATAAATTGTTTTGACTGAATAAATTTCGCTTCCTCCTCATTAACAGAGATACCGTGCGTACTGTGTCACAATTTTAGTTCAGAACATCTTGTTTAGTAGTAAACATAGAAAACTTGAAACACCTACATAATCTTTGTATTATATTATTGATAAAAGAACATAAAAATACTGTAAACTTTGATGAATAAACAAAAGAAAATAAAGAAAACAAAGTTGGTGATGAATAAGTAACAATTGGCATAACAGTAACATTATTAAAGAAGTAACAATTGGCATTTTATTTAAAAATTTGGTTAACAAGAAGAAAACAGCCGATTAATCAATAGGCAAGCATACAAATATTTTCTCAGCACTAAAACAGTCTGCAATTCATGTTCTGTGAACAATCATGATAACGGTCAGCAATTTAAATTCAAAAAGGTAGCGTATTTTATGATGCATCAGCAAAATAAACATCCACGCCACAAAATAATTATTTGGGTATTAAGATTATACTATTGAACAGCAAAGAAAACCTTTAACTATGCCTTTAATTTGATAAGTGTGCATATTTTAATGTTTATTAAAATTATTTAACTCATTTTATTGTATATTTTACTGGGAGTATATTATGATCAGAATTTAATATTTTAATATTATTATATATTGCATTCTGATTTTTTTTCAATTAAAATAGTCGTCATATGACCGCAAGACTAAAAATAAGGTACATTTATAGAATAACAAAATGACTATATAAAAAACTAAATAAATAAATCAGTAAAATCAAATGAAAATTAACTAAGTGTAATAGACATTTTTTTTTAAATAAGTTAAAAGCAATTGTCAATAATTCTTACCAGAGTATTTGATTGGCAATGCATCATCTCGTAATTTTATTATATTTAAAGTTCGATTCAAACAACTTTCCCTAAAATGAAGTGAGCAGATAAAAGTAACTTTTTCATTACATTTAATATTTTCTGCTTCTATGTAACTCGGCCATTTTCCTCTTTTGTTTCATCTTTTGGTAATCTAAAATAATTAATATATTTTAAAATATTAAAATTATCGATATAAACCATATGTTAAAGTAACGACACTAGCCATGTAAACAATATTATTTACGGACCGAAATATTATAAAAATATAAACGAAAAGAGCAATATAGCATAAATAGAACACGCCATAATACGATATGTATCGATTTATATACGCAATCATTTTCAAAATAACTTACTTACGTTTTAAATACTGTTATTCCAAGAAAGTGTTTAACTTACCGGTGAAACGTAATATTGCTCGGTTTGCGGGATATTGATGACGCACAACCAATTATACAGCACCTAGGCATTGTATTGCATAAATAGTTTACAATTATCTGCCATGAAAGTTATATAAATTAAAGTTATAAATGAAAATAACCACAAAACTTATAACACTGACAGCTGAACTACTTCCGAGAATACGCAAAGCAAATTTGCAAATGGCTGACAGGTGGTACGATAGCTATATCTCATGACGTCACATGAACTGTCACACTAGTGTTATCTTTGTTTACTAAAGAAACTTCTTATTAGTTAAAAAAAGACAACATGATGTTTTTGATGTCAACTTCAAATTGCATGATATTTATATAACCATAGAAAATATTTCCACTCTACCTTACTCTATGGTCACAGGCCAGTAAATATGTCAAATCCATAAGTAACAACTGTCTTTAGAGTAAATTAGGGATGATCGATATTGGAAAAACATCGATATTGACATCAAGGCCAACATTCGATGAAAACAATCGATGTTCCCCAAACATCGATTGCGTTGCTGTTAAAGGAATTGACCAGCTTTAGAAAAAAGCCTCTCTGAAGCCGTGTAAGTAAATATTTTAATGCAATCTTTTTTAATGTGGGATAGGTGGATTCTACCCCTTAACATAAAAGTAATGGAATAAGACAAGTGTCATAAAAAATCACGCGGGAGTTTCACGGAGAGAGAACGAGCCCAACGAGCATAAAGTAACTTTTTTTTTATATACATAAATGACCTTTTTCCGTTTTACACAGAAATTTTGCGGGATAGTGAGAAATGATTTTTAATAGTTTTCTTCCTCCCTTGTTCTAAAAGTACAACACAAACAAACGTCACAAATTGTACTAATAAATTAAATAAAAAATATCGCAGTAAATATATGATAGTGCCATGTAGATTATAGTGTATTGTTATATTTTTTAATATGCTCACAAGACGCAAAAAGATAGGTATGTTAGAAATAGACAAGATAGTATTAAGGTTAATGGGACGGGGGGTTTTAGATGGAAGTTGCTCATATGAAGTAGGTTGTCTCAGACAGTTGAAGAGGATGGGATCAGCGGTACCTTTTTCGATTCCGCACTCGCACGTGGAACTATCTAATATACGGATCTTTGAAATTAAGACCGGTGAATAAAGTAACTTATAAGATACCAACAAGCGCTGAAGTTGACAGATTTATTTCTAATTTCCTAGGAAAATGCAAGCAAATAAAAAACTGTTTGTTTGCGTACTCCAGTTACGAGTGCAACCGGTGACATCTAGTATAAAATAGTTGAACTTGATATACATTCACATGTAGTATGTCTGTCCACTAAATGCATGGCATTTGATAATTAGATATCAGATACCGATGATTTTTTTAATTAATTTTTAACTTGAAGAACACTATATATCATCAAAATCGACTTAGTAATTTTGAATTATTATAGTAAAGTTCAAGAAATGAGAAAAACATGTAAGACCACACCTTCACCATTATTGTTCCTAATTCAGTATCATCAGGAGTGGATCTAGGGGGGCAAGAGAGGGCACTTTCCACGTGCGCTAGTGTCGGGGGAGAGCCAAAATCATGTTGATATTATATATCTAATTTTCAAATTCCTAAATGAAAGAAAAGTAATAAAATCACATATTTTACGCCTGAGTAAGGGTGCAATATCAAATTTCGGTTGGAAAGGGTTGTAGATCGAGGCCTCACCATCGAAACTTTATGGTGTCGCGACACTTTTTTGCCATGCAATAATGTTAAAGTCATTTAAAATATGCTGTATAATGTTAATAAAAAAATAATCTAATAACTTACAAAAGCGTTCAAAACACGACAAGTTTGCTACTCATCAATGATAGCGAGTTTAGGTTCAATGAGGAAGTATTTAAAAAATAAAAATTAGTTCTTGAAATCATACTAGATGTGACTCGCGATGTTTGGATTTTGTTTATGATATTCATTCAAATTTTGTTTCTGACGTAATAATAGTAAATTGAGTATCGAAAATTAATAAATAAGACATCGTTTTGTGTTTCTTATAATATCTAATTTTCAAATTTATTTTAATCGTAAGTTTAAGTTGTTTATTATATTACGTGTAAAGGAACGATGTTTGGTTTATACGTCAACATTAGTGATGAGCCAACTTATTGGTAGGGATGGTCCACTATCAAGGTATCGATACCTACTCATATCAGTAGTACTCAAATAGTCTTTCGATACTACTCATATAAATACTCCTAATGTATCGATACTTATAGATTATTTTTTAATGAAATGACGGACAATAATTTTATGAGGGCAAAAAATAAAATAAGTAATTAGGTTTTTTTTTAATTAAATTTAATGAGAAAGTATTTAAAAAAACGTAATCCAGTTCTCTTTCATGTCTAAAAGTAAATTCGTTTTCAAAACTCGGTAAACAACTCATATTCTATTTGTACTTTTTCGTATTTGTATTGATATCTAAGTTTCGAACTTAGAAATTTTCAATTTTTAATAATGTTCGTTAAGGGGAACGAAAATGACTGTCTTTGGTCCATTCGTTTCCTACAACAATCAACTTTTACTAGAGTCACCATCTAGTGGAGGTCCTTTTTTGGTGCTTTCTTTTTATTTTTAAATACTTCCTCATTAAGAACAGCTGGTATCTGGCTGAATGCAAATTAACAAGACATAAAATGGCGGCACGGCACGGCACGTCACACACACAAACACAGTTACATGCCATGCATTGAATGGCGCGCGCGCTTTTACCGACAACCTGGCGAGTGAGAGAAATAAGCTGTCTCTCTCTCGTTCTATCAGATGCGTTCATTTTACATAAAATATCGCACGCACAGAACAATACTGTATTATTTCGACTTTGTATAGAGTACATACTCGTATTTACTAATATCGGAAGATCCCTACTTATTGGTTGCTCGTAACTTTCATCCGAATTCAGGTTTGGAATTAAGAACAAAAAGCAGAGCACAGAATTCAGCTTGTATTTGCATGTGTCATTATGTATCCACAAAACGAATGATATTAATATAAATATCAAAATCAATTCAGTCTAGGCTGTTACATATTACTTGTGAAAGTTGAAAACTTTGCCAATGGTTCGCAAAACAAATACGGGAGATCTCGTACTGACAAGAATCGGCAAGGAACTCAGCAATGGCTGTTTTTTTTTTTATTTTAACTATACAACTAAACTATACTATATTTGAGGGAACGTAATTACCTAACGGACACGACACCACCACAGAAATTTAAGAGAGACGAGCAGCTACCACAATCTCAAATTTCTCCAGCAGCTGTGTACCTAAGTAAATATAGTATTCCACAATAATTACCATCTTAAAACAGATGCTTTGTAACTTTGTGTAATATAACTTTAGCAATAAAAAATTTATATAAATTAAACAAAAGTACATTTTTTCAAAATAAAAATATATTTAAAATTATTATGAATGAAATGCAAAGAAAGCAATTAACAACAACTTATGCAGTATTCTATATTATTATAAATTTTGAATATTTAAGGGCATAATAATCCCAAAACCAGAATATATAAACAACAATATAAGATAGAGTAGATATAGATGCGTTACATGTGCCCCTTGGCAGTTGGAAAGTGCACCCTATATAAATTTTACTACATGGGTGAAAAGTTAACTTAAAAAATGTTTTTCTGGTCAACTCAAGTGCTTATATCATTAATTAGTTGAGTAGATACAGTCCTATAATGCATTAATTATATTAAAAGAAAAAGTGCTCTCATAGAAATTGCAAAATTTAAATTGCATCACAATAAACACAAATTTATGTAAGAAATGTATATATCAAATTTTGCACTATTGTGTCTTGTGTTATATAGTCATAGTAACGCATTTAAATAATAAAACACTACTGATAAAAAATAACAAGCTTAAATTAAGTATTAAAACTACCCATTGACATTTTATCTTTGATACGCTTCACCAATATTTTTCAAGTGACTTAACCAAATCCAAGGGGTCAGTATTAGGGCCATGTCTCTCTACAGGAACTCCATCTTTGTCAACAATAAATTTGGTGAAATTCCACTTGATAAAACTGCCCAAAGTGCCACCTTGTTTGTGCTGAAAATGGAAACAATTTATACAGGTTATATTTGTCAACATTCATATTTTATTTTAAAAAACAAAGACAATTCAGTTATGTGTGCATTGTAATAATCATTGACAAAAGAAGTGAATAAAACCTTGAATATGCATAATTGATTGACAACTGCAGACACTACTTGAGTATTGATTTTGTGATTATAACTGAAGGTTAGGACATAACAACTCCTATTAAATACTGAATAGATGTTCATTTAGCAGAAGAAACTATTATAGATTAGTTATCAATACTGATAAATGTGTGGTTATCAGCAATAGTAAAAATATATTTTGTATGTATAACTTGGTAGATACAAAAAGAATCCTTTAAACAGGATTATTTTTTACATAAACATTATAACATATTACAATAAAAATCTTCAATATTATAATTATATTATGTTATAACGCTTACCTTCAAAAATTTCCATAGAGGACTAGCAGAGTCTCCATTAACATCTATCTTTTCAAACAAATCAAATTTAACCTTCTTTTCTGCTGCAAAACAAACAATTTCCTCTGGATTTCCTGGTTCCTGACCTGCAAATTGATTGCAAGGGAATGCGAGAATCCTCAAACCTAGGAAATAATACAATGATTAGTATTTATTTAGTATGAGCAAAAGGTTTGTCTTAAAAATAACTAGTTCTTGTGACATGGAAATATTTAAATTAATAATTTATGATCAACATACCTTTACTTTCAGCATACTGCTCATACAATTCGTTAAGCTGCTTATAATTGTTTGCAGTTAAGCCGCATTGTGAAGCGACGTTAACAATAATACAAACATGACCTTTGTATACATCAAGTTTAACATCTTCGCCTTTGATGTTTTTGACGGTGAATTCGTGAATAGAGTTAACGAGCCTGTAGTCCGGATTGTTTGAAGACATTTTGCTAAGAAATAATTAATTTGATAATTAATTCTCACTTTTTATTGCGTTCAGCTATAAGATCTATTTGCGTCGTAATGAACACGTCGGAAATGATTTTATTTCAAATATTAATCTAAGTTGTATATTTTACACCAAAAGCGACAATAATGGTTTTTTGACTGTTGCCAGTGTCAGGTCAAATATCAGTCAAATGAGAGGCTTGCCAATCCTATATGCACAGTCAGTACACAAAAGTCAAAGAAGCTAGAAAGTTTGAAATTTTAACAAATAATATATTCCTAAAACTTACATAGTGCTTATTTGTGCCCGACTAATATAGAATAAGTTACCAACGATAGGCACGGCTAACTTAGCTAAACTTCGGACAGTTATTGTCATGATATAATATCAAACGCTTCAAGGGCAAAGTTAAAGCTGGGTGGGGGACTACTAGGGACTACGGAGTCATGAACGAGTAGGAGTTTCCGTGAGTTTTCATCTGTAAAAAATATCATTAATAGTTAGCAAAAATTATCGACGAAATATCGATATTTTTACGATGAAATGAGGTTTAAAATTATTTGAGTATTTCAAACGAATTTAAAAACCCTTATAAATAATTTAAAATTGCATTTAATATTATAATATTGCTATACTGAAAATTATTTTTAAAGGAAAATGCTTAAAAATCCACTTAAAAAGCTTGAAGTTGAGCTGAAGTTAAATTTAACTAGTTATTTTAAAGAAAAGTATATAACAGAACAGAGGTTTCATATATTTTGATCCAGATATCAAAATATATGAAACCTCTGTTCTGTTATATACTTTTCTTTAAAAGGATCAAAATATATGAAACCTCTGTTCTGTTATATACTTTTCTTTAAAATAACTAGTTAAATTTAAAATGTTCACGTTCATTCAAGGAATCAAAGCAAGTGTTGGCAACACTTAGGTATAATCTAGTTCGATTTCGGGAACTAATGTTTTTGTAAATACTTCCTCATTGCTCCTCGATTAAAAAGAACATAAAATTTAAAGAAGCGTTGCCAACCCCAAGAAACTAGAAAACGACATCAACAATTAAATCAAGAGAAAATAGTAGAATATCTAAAAAAGGCATATTTCATACTGTAGTCATAAAAACTGATATACTTTTCTTAGTTATCAAGACTTACATACATTGTTATACATATTATAATATTGATAATAAAGTAAAAAATATTAAAAAAAAATTAATCGACATAAAAACTAATGATTTTCCTCTTTCTTCTATATGTTTTTATATTCTTTAATTGTATTTTATGACTCATTTTCTTTTTTACATTCCTACATAGTTTTGTTGAATCTCTTCAGGGACCTTTCTGTGGTCTTGGTTATTTAAGTTTATAATTGGATAGTGTAATCGTTGGCATTACAGAGTAAAAATCAGGAATAAAACAGAAAATAGGGGGGTTATGTGAAAACAGCAAATCTACTGTTAAAACAGTAGGGTATAACACTACTCATCCATTTGATGCGATATCGGAAACCATGTGTCATATTGTGAGCAAATATTTGCGATTCCCCATACATTTTATAAAGGCGCGTGATTCGTGCGATTATAATGGAAAAATATCTCATTGACACTTCAAATATGGCACTGCATTTCTTGCCATATTTCAAGAACATTTATTTGAAGGATATTATTCCTAAACGCGATGAGGAACACTGTTTAGCAGATCACAAATGTCACATGTGAGCTTGTTAAGATCAGCATGCTTAGTCTTGAACACTATCACTGCGTACTCTGGCGCTAGTGTAACGAAACGGCACATTGCAATGTCGATCAATCTCGATTACGTTCGAGAGTAAACATGTAGATGGATGCAATTTTGGTAAAGATGTTTTTCCTCTAGGTGGAAGACATGTTGAATTTATCGATATCGACATCACTGTTTCATCGATATTAATATTTCTGGCGATGCTATTTATCGGTTTTCGGCATATTGTTACATTTATTTATATTTTATATTCTTTTAAGCATCATAGTCTGTTGTAGTGATGGGCGATTGATGTAAAAAAAACGATCGACTTAACCGAAAATTGTGCTACTGCGCATTCGATTGTTGATCTAGTAGTTCCCCGACATGATTATTCGAATAAAAATCGTCTTATCTATTAACTGTACGCACACTATGTGATCATTCTGTGCTATGCGCATGCGGACAGTTAACTGCGCAGAGTACTATGGTGTTGCGTGGATTGTTTGCTTACTTTAATAGTTATTATTTGGTATTAAATTATTATTTATACTAAGAAAGATAAATAACATAATACAAAAAACCGGCCAAGTACGAGTCAGACTCGCGCACGAAAGGTTCCGTACCAGAAACGAGCAAAAAATAAGCAAAAAACACGTTTGTTGTATAGGAGCCCCATTAAATGTTTATATTGTAGCGGCAACAGTATATATTACTTATATAACACTTATATATATTACTTATATAACAGTTATATTTATACATTTCAAGGTTTGTTTGTATGATATTTTAACATTATTCGTCGCTCGATAGTGTAGATAGGTAACAACTACATTGCGACGATCGAATGGATGTGCCCTCAATTCAGTGGATTGAGTATTAAACAGACGACTAAATAACGTATTAGCGCCAATCACATAATAACTGCAGCAGACTGCACCGCACCGTTAGTAGTACGCACGGGTATAGTATGGCACTGCTCTAGAAATTCATCGAAATTAATCACTGTAACCGCAGCGTGGCATATCCGCCCGCTGTCGCCGCAAGGATTAGTTATTAACAATAATCAAATTACATCAATGGGGAAGAATTTAAAAATAAAAAGAAAGCACCGATAAAATACCTCCACTAGATGGCGACTCTAGCAAAAGTTGATTTTTGCAGGAAATGAATGGACCAAAAATAGTCATTTCCGTTCCTTTTAACTAACATATTAAACCAACTGAAATTTGCAAAGTTCAAAACTTAGATATCAATACAAATACAAAAAAAGTACAAATAGAATATCAGTTGTTTATTGAGTTTTGAAAACTAATTTACTATTATACATGAAAGAAAACCGGGAGGGTTGTCATGGAGAAGTCAATAAAGTACCGTTGCGACATTTAGTTTGATTTCGGGAACTAATTTTTTTTTAATACTTCCTCATTGTAATCGACTTAGCTGAACAATCGACTAATTAGATTTTTTTAGTAATAATCGCTCATCGCTGGTCTGTGGCTTCTACTTTTGCTCTTTGCTAGAAATCCCTGACTAGTTTATAGTGTTCTGTGAGAAATAGAAAGAAAGAGAAAGACATTCAATCGAAGTACTATAGTTTGCTTGATTTTATTTTTAATAAATAATAAATCAAAAAACTTCCTTTATATTAATTTATATATAATAAATATTGAATGATGTCGATTATATTTTCAAATTTGCGTAGAAGTACAAGTTTAAAGAATTTCGCTAGTTTGGGATATGTCCAAACTGCGTCTTATCATGCAAATGTAAGTCATCATTAATATTGTGCAATACTATATTTATTTCTCATGTATTATAATTTTCCCTATATTATAAATTACTGTTTCGATAGTATTACGATTTAGAAGCAACCCTAACCATTTTACCTACTTATAACTAATTTCTCATAGTATTGTTTTTAAGCCATTTATTATTCATATCATAGTATTGTTTTTAAGCCATTTGGTTTCTCTACAAAAGAACGCTATGATTTTTATCAGCTTCTATCAGTTAGAAAGTTATACATTCTTTAGGTAAAACTCTGAAACTTCACAAATATTTGCCATATAAAATTAATATTATGAGCATAAGGTTGCTTATATAAAAAAGAGTAATTATTAACTTCAATAATTATTAACATCAATACATAATACAATCCGCTTATATGAACAATAACTTATAAAAGGATTTAAAAATTCATGACTTAAAACAATGCTAAGAGTCAATAGTAGCATGGCTCATTTTAAAATCATATGCTGAAATTCAAAGATTTTGTAATTTCAACTCACATACATACCAACACTAAAACACACTCATACACACAAACATACGCTAAGGGCGGGACCTTCTGTAACAGGTATTCCTGAATACCTACTAGGATGATCTCAACCATGATTGTAAATCTGAGAAATTTTGTATGTAATGAATAATATTTTCAATTATTAATCTATTTTAGGTGATTGATCACTATGAAAATCCTAGGAATGTAGGATCTTTAGACAAGAAAGATAAAAATGTTGGGACCGGGCTAGTTGGTGCACCAGCATGTGGGGATGTAATGAAATTACAAATAAAAGTGGATGAAAATGGAAAGATCATTGATGCAAAGTTCAAAACTTTTGGATGTGGTTCTGCAATTGCATCTAGTTCTTTGGCCACTGAATGGGTAAAAGGAAAGACTGTTGATGAAGCTCTTAAATTAAAGAATACTGATATTGCCAAAGAGCTCTCCTTACCTCCTGTGAAGCTACATTGCTCTAGTAAGTTCTTTATAATATATTTATAGCTGGTGTGGTGAATACTGATAATATTGTTTCAAACTAATATATTGTTATTATAAATTTAACTTTTCTAAATTAAAACCTGGGCTGTAATTCAGTATTATCTCAGCACTAAATTAATTTATTATAATAGTCATATTGACATTTTATTATAATCTTTCTACATTTATATTTCAGTGTTGGCTGAAGATGCTATTAAAGCTGCATTATCTGACTATAGAATCAAGCAGCAAAATCCTGAAAAGAAAGACTAAATACTATCAAAATTTAATGAAACAGATGCAACTATTTTTTAAATGGATGGGCTTACACTTGCAATGAATAGTAGATAGTATTCTAGATGTTTTGCACCTAGTCAAAATAAAGAGAGCTTTAGTACAATTTTACATAGATAAGCTTTTTACCCATTGTTGATTTAGGCTGTCATATTTCTACTCGATAAAGGCTTCTCAGGTCTCATTTCCCAGCAGAGGGTACACCATAGGTGTTTTGGTGGGTAGGCCTCTGGTGGAGGAGGATAGACCCCAGTTGTTTGCTAAGCAGCATGTAGTGTTTAAAGCATTTTCCTGATAAATAAAAAAAGACTGTCATATTTCAATGTGTGAATTTGTACTAAGCTCACTGGTGTAATGTTATTGATTAGAGGTAGGGTAATTGCATACATCATAGTCTCTAAAAAGAAACTTAGTTTCTCTATTGTTGTATAGAAAATAGATTGCTTAAAACTACTGCAGTCTAGTAATTAAATGATATTATTCAATTGTGATATAAATATTGAAATAAAATTATTCACATTTATATTGTTTTTCAATAATTGATGGATATTACATATATTTTTATTTATTCTTAAATGGCCTTGAAATTATGAATCCTTATCCTTTATCTTACCTTATCTTATTATTCTTAATATAATTTATGGCTGGTATTGCACCATAATTAATGGTCCCATGGGAACGAATGCTGCAGAGTGGCTTAGCAGTTTTCACGTTATAAAATATATGACTTTTCGAATTTGCTCCTCTAGGTGGAATATTTCCCGGTGCAAGGTCTCCCGCCGTAGATTTACGAATTGATGGCGTAGCGCTCGACTCTCACAAGTGCTTGTAACAGCTTAGACTGAATAAATCATTTTGATTTGATTTGATTTAAAATTCCGGTCCATATTCCAGTAATGCAAACAAACAAAATAATGAAATATTTCCTATTAAAACTTTCAAGGTAAATATTTATAAAAGAAAAAACAAGATACGAAAAATAGTATAATTTCTTTATATTCAACAAGTCTAAATAAAATAATGGCAAACAGTGTGGAAAATATCAAAAGGTGTAAACATTTATGAAAGAATGCCAAGTTTTTGCAGTGCCAACTGTGCAGCATCAGCTTTTGCTTGTTTTTTGTTTGCACTTGCAACTGCTGGTTGATATTCGACTCCTGCAACTTTTACCTGTAACAGAGATGAAACTAATTGGTAAAGGTGTTAATTTTTTATTCTTAAATGAAAATTGCTCAAAACATCGAATAGGTATAAATAAAGTAATATAAATAAGAACCAATATCGGTCACAATTCGCCATTAGTAAGAATGTGTCAGGAATACAAACAATATCATATCTTTCATGTTTCATTGCGTACTTTCAGGAATAGGGTGCTTTAATCATAGTCCTCAGGGGATAGATTTTGAGTACTTTTCTGTTGAGAATAAAATAAATAATAAATCCCGCCAAGAATTTCAACATGAAAACACAATAATATTTAGCTTATTAAGCACAACACTACCTGCCTACATATGTGATGTAATCATAGAAAATAATATTAAATATAAGTTAAAAGCATATTTCTTATCTCAGCATTGCTGAACGTATGTAATTTTAAAGAAGAGTTTTATTAGTATTCAAGTATAAATACTCAATGTTGCCAGATCTGTTGTAGTATTCTTTATTCTTTGTTTGGGTGTAATATTCTGTGATAAAATATAATCAACCCAATCGCCAGCATAAATAATATGCTACTGTAACTGACAACAACTGTTTATTATTATCTATTTACAATACAGTCATGTAGTCTATCTACATGATTGTAATGTATCACACAAATCCAACAATCAATATGTAAGTTTTTAAAAATAATTAATTAATTAAAAAACATAATTCTGTCCGATTTTAGGGCGCAATAATGAAAATCATATAGTTTTTTTTTTCCAAAACTAGTTGGTAATGTATGAATAATGTATGAATCTAATCAATAATGTATGAAGCGGGACAGCTGGAATCAGTAACACCATTAAATTATTGATTTGTTATTCGTTACCTTGAACAGAAAGTTCTTTTTATGATCAGGGCCGCATTCAAAGCATAGGTTGTATTCAGGTGGGCCCAACTTCTGCTTCGAACAATACTCGCCTAGTAGCGAGACAGGATGCTTGCCGCCTGCTACCAGAGGAGCGGGGCCGCGGCTACGACCTTGCCTTTGGTTTTTAATCTGTCAACATAAGTTTCAATTTGCTAAATAACAGATTATTATCGGCCAGTTTCTGAATTGAGAAAAGAAATCTCAACTGATAATTCTCAATAACTTAAGTTTTTTATATTTCACATGGCAAGGAGTCCTAGGTTTCACAAACTGCTATCAACTGATTATCAAAAAAATTCAAATTAGAAACGAAAACCTGTTTAAGTTATATTTAAGATGGATTAAGTATGGTTTGAGACACGTTTAATTTTATATTCTCGATTCAGAAACCGGGTATAAGTGATGTTTAAGATGGTTTAAAGTATGGTATAAGACATGCTTAACTTTATATTCTCAATTCAGAAACCGGATGTAAGTGATGTTTAAGATGGTTGAAAGTATGGTATAGGACACGCTTAATTTTAAATTCTCAATTTAGAAACTGGTATACAATGTGTGTGTAATATCAACGGTGTAAACTAATGATGAATTTTTCCACAATTTATTGAAAGACTCGCATGTTTATAACTAGGGAAAGATATTTAGAAATAAATTACCATGATTTTGATTTGAAACTATGTCTATCTGTTATTTGTTTCTAAGTGACATAGTGCAATTAAAAAATATTATAGACACTAAAGATCTTCAATGTCCAACTCACTATCTCATTACATTACTTCATAATATTAATTATAATACCACTTTCCAATAACGACATTCTAAATGAACCTAAAAAATTGAACTTGCTCGTAAATTAAATTTTTAAATTGTTATATGTTAATAAAAACTACAACTATTTCATATTCTACACTGTAATAATAATAAAGTTTACTTACGCCTTTATTCATTCGGCTACTGACCTCTTCTTTGGCCTGTAGGCCGCGGGTATCAAGTTTCACTTCTAACAACAGCGGTTGTAGAGTGCCAGTTCCCTCTTTGCCCAGCCCTTGACCTGGAGTCCAGCCCATTTTTTGCAGAAGATGCATACCCATTCCACCTTCAACGGGAGCCGCTTTCACCAGTTGATCCTATGTTTACACATAATTAGTGTGTGGATAATATACCTGTTGTTTTTTGTTATTTTTATGGACTTACTTTAATTTTATTACAAAATTGAATTTAAAGATATGTAAACGAGTAGATATTGGATAATATTCTTATTTTAAAACTGCAATATAAATTTAGTTTTATTTTGAAAATTAAAAAACAACTTTTTAGTTATTTTAGAATGATTTAGCTAAGTGATGTTGGCTAAAATGTATGTATATATTTAGGTATATACTCTTTGTTTATTAAATGCCGTTCCTTAAGTGCTTTAGACATTACGGAAAATGTATTACGAATATGGGACTCTCCAGGTTTGTTAGGTACTGGTACAACATAATGTTATTAAAGTAGCTAATATACATTTTCATATCAGGTTCTTTTAAAGTTTTGAATACATTGATATTTTTCTTGTTTTAGAATAGACTGAATAATAATAATACAGTTTATTGTACTCAAAATACACAGTTTACAGGAACTTATTAAGAGATTGAGTAAACAAATGACGGCCTTATTGCTAAACAGCAATCTCTTCCAGGCAACCTATAGTGAAAATGGATAACGAATAATGACACTATGGAGAATATGTGCAATGTTGAGAACAATTAATATTATAATTTTTGTTCCGTCGATAGCCGTCCCTGTGTTTATACTTACCTCTATGGATCACATAGCAATGCCCCTATCATGGGTCGAGCGTGTGGTAACTCAGTTCTCGCATCTCCTTATCACTTAAAAGCTGCAACAAATATTCATGGATTCCCCATATAAAGCCACGTCACTCTACAAACTCTATTGCCATTTACCCGTTACTTTATATAAAGCGACTGCTATTAAATCGAGTAACTATGCAATAAAAAGCTCATAGAATTACTAGGCTTTTATATTACTGTTTTGCGGATGCGACTGACTCAAAAGTATGTTAGTATAATATTCTAATCAAATTAAAAAGATATTACAAATATAATAGCTACATTTTAAAGTACAAATAAATGTTGTAATAAAAAATTAATAATTTGTTAACATTACAAATATATCTTAGTATTACAACTGATAATAATAATACTAATTAAATTGAGTAAAAGCGATATGAAAGTCTGAATGTATTCTTTAACCAACCATAAAGATTCATGTGAGTAGAATATAGTCATGTATTTAGAAAAATAAGATCATTTTTATATCGCTAATAAGTTACATACGTACGTCTTATGTAAATTTTAAATAAATGGGCAAAAAATATAATATAGTGATTACAAGAAAATTATTGTAAATAAAAGTCAGTCAATAAATAAGGGGAAAACTGAATATTTGTATGCAAAACTAGTTAATGATGATTGTTATGCCTGTTGTGGCACAACAGTCATCATTACACCATCGCAAAACCCTTCAGTGTAAGGAGTGAACTGCGCTAGTTCTCTCTTTACACGATATAGTATTTGAGGGGGGGTGGTGACAATAACATAAACGGCAACACTGTTTCTAGGATCAACAACTCAAGAAATATAATACTCGTTTCTATTTGCATAAAGTTCATTTTGATGTGATTAATGTATACGCCCGTTTGACAAGTGCGAAGTTAAACAGTATGCAAACTTTATATCTCTTTATTCTAATGATTAGTCCGTGTTTCTGTTATTTTTTTGTCAGATATAATAGAAAGCCTAGTGATATGTTACATTTCGTTTTGTTTTTAGATATTTCATAATTAGAAATGTCAGTGTACCGTAATCTTACTGCCATTCAGTTTTTTTAAATGAAGGGCATAGTACATAATTATAAAATAATTGTCACTGTTGAATATCCTGTTATACAGATGTTTAATTCATTAATACTGGACAACATCTAATAAATAAACAGAGTATCAAATCAGAATCCCAAAGTAGCTAACGGCCGGTTTCTGAATTGAGAAAAGTACATCATCTCAACTGATTATTCACAAGGCAAAAAGGTCTAGTTTTATCAAACTGCTGTATTAGTAGATACTGATCATTAAACAAAAAAAGAATACAAAAACAAAAACATGTTTAAGACGATGTAAGTACGGTTTGAGACGTGCTTAACTTTAAATTCTCAGTCCAGAAACCGGGTGCAAGGGTCTTGTGTTTGGTAATGAGAAACATGACGCTGTGACAATGGCCTAATCGAACCTTCGACGTCTAAAGTACTAATATAAGTTACTGTAAAATAACTTCGCCTAAAGTGCTAATTTAAAATTACTGTAAAATATCTTCATGGTAAAATAGATTTAAGGGTCAGTCTGATAAGTCATATTAGAAAAACTATTAGATCAATGTTGTTGTCACCACCTTTTATATTCAGAAACGGTCAGAAAGAATAATACGCTACGTATTATAAGTTCTGACCGCAGCGTCGACTGCATCAGTGTACGCGAATCCCGAGCGACGGCGATTTGAGCTGAAATAAAAGTTATTTCAAGAGGCTTAAAGTATCAAATGAAACCACATTTTTTGCTACACGTATTCTGAATAACATTGAAGATTATTAAGGTTAATTTATAAAGTACATTAATATTAATAGAACTTACCTAAATATTATTTTACATTAGATTAGAAAAAACAGTGTGCTTGTACGAGGATTTTTTAAAGATATAATTTTGAATACAAAATACGATAGCATTAACATTTGGTTTCGGTTGATACTTCAAATATTTCTTTTTGATTACCGAGTTCATAATCATCACATAATATATTAATTTTTAAATGATAGATATTAAATACAAATTAATAAACGATTATTATTAATACAAGAAAAACAGACTTCAAAAATATCGTAATAAAGAGAAACAAATTAAGAGAGAAATAATACCTCAAAATTTTTATCTTTAATAAAATCAAAACACAGAAAGTGGATATGCCAAGAATTTTTTTTTGAGGTTGGTGCCTGTCGTGTGATTAGTAAGAAGTAAAACAGCACCATCAGAAAATGTGTAACAATTAATGTTTCTTTTTATAAACATCCAGATGTTTTCATTGACCTCATAAAAAAAAGTTGATGTATCCACTTTTTGTGCATCAATTTTATTTCAGATAAAAAATGCGGTATTATTTCTATTTTTTCAGTTGATTCTCTTTGTTACGATATTTTTGAAGTCTGTTTTTTTTATTGTATTTTTATTTCTTTCTTTTTAATAATACAAGTTGTCACCGATCGTCATTACTTCTTACTTATAATAACCATCTGTATTTAAACTTATTAACTGGATAAATCTTTTCTGTTAGGGTAGCAGTTTTAACCTAACTTAACCCAATATTGTGGTAGCAATTCGTTTTTGGCGTCGATGCGTTTTTTATTGCTGTCGAAGTTCTGACCTATTTATTATTCTGGCAACAGATTGATTCTTAAATCATTTAGTAAATTTTCCCTTATGCTGTCCCCTAAAGGTCCACTTGATTAATAGTTAATCATTTCAATCCGATGTCTAATTTACGAGAAATACGTGGATAAACATAAAGACACGCATACAATATACATCTACAAAAATGAAGCACACATGTTTAGAAAAGACTAATATCTTGTATCAATGTTGCGCTATATTCCAGGACGGTTAAAAACGTACAAATCAAATCGATAACCTCTTTTTTGAAGTCGGTAAAACCAATACTTCACACATTTAAAACTACTGAACCAATTTTGATGCAATTTGTAATGTTCCTCAAGTTAAAAACTAAACAATAAAAAAAACATTACAATACGACGTCTAGTTTGCAAGATATCCGTGGACAAACATACATACATACATCTATAAAATTTTGCACACGTGTTAGAAACCCATACAGATCAACATACATGAATATTACGTCATTCCAACGAAATTAAATACATACACCTCGAATTGATAACGTCTTCTTTTTTTGAAGTCTGTTAATAAGATATATATCAAAATAGTTCATTTAATTGTATTTTTTCGCCTGAAAATTGACGGAATTGTATGCGTTCAAGAGATATACTTTTTACAGCAGTAAATCTGATTTCTAATCAAATTTTGCTATTTCTGTTTTGAAAAAACTTTACCTGATATTCTTCTAATTGAATTCGAAATGTGAAGTAAAAAGGAATTGAATATTGGACATAATTTTACTGATACGCATAATAAATTTCCTGAAAAGACTAATCGACTAAAATAATTTAAAAAAAATATTTTGTGATGATTAAAGAACTACAAATACACGGTACGAAAGAAAACCCTGCATAGAAACTTAAAACATTTAAATTACTTTAAAAAAAGCTTTCAAAAGTGAAAACTAATATAACAGAATAATTTATTCATGAAACTTCTATTAAATTTAGTCGGTTAACAACAATAGTTTAGGTTAACTTCCGTACAGCATACTGTACATACACAAACATGCCTGAAAATCAAAGTTCAGTCAATATTCATTTATTATGTGATTGTTACATACCTTCTTGGCCCACGCTTGTGTACCACTCGCTAACTCCCTTGGGGTTAAAATTTGTGCACCCGTAGATCCTGTGAATTCCCCAAGTGTACTCGTCGAACTCCAACCAAACTGTACGAATAAAATTGTGAAAGTTAGGAACGGAGGATGTCAATTAGACATTTGGCAACTGAGGAAATAATTATTTTAGTTGAGATTTTAATAAAAAATTCTCTAAATAAACATAGATAAATTATAACATTGAGTCAGAAAATCACGATTATTTTATTAATAAATATTTATAATAGTTTGTACATAGCAGTAGGTAAACCAAGATGTAAAAATAAATTAGGATACTGGTCCCGTCTTTTTCTTAAATAAAGAGAAATAGTTCCCTTCCGGTCGTTTAAAGTGACAATCACCCGTTTTCCGTTTCAGATTTTAGTTTTTTTAATGATCAGTTGATAGCAATTGGTTAAAACCTAGGACTTTTTGCCTTGTGAAAAGTAAAAAAAAACTTAAGTTATTGAGAATAATCAATTGAGATTTTGTACTCGTCATTAAATACAAAAAGATATATTTTAGTATTTTACTTTACTTTATTTTTACTTACACCACGTGTACTGCACAGTTCATTGTCTTCTTGTTCCTTGCGAATCATCGCTATCTTTTGTGATACTATGGCACCAACATCCTGTGGGCAACACATTTTTTTTACAGAAAACCTAATAACTGAAAAAATATTTTTCTATTTAAATAATGCACACAAGTGTAAGGATAAATAAAATTCACAATTAAAATTAGCAGTATAGGCATAAAGACTGGGTAAAAAATAATATATTATGTAGTCCGTCAAAAACATTAGAACATATTTATTTTTAGTTCAATTTAACAACAAATGGCATAGATAGATAAAGTTGAGGACTAGGGGCTGGCTACGTCACAACTATGTAGAAGTGTACAATCTAAGCTATTTATTGTTAAATTGAAGCAAAAAAAAAAAAATTTCTTTTTTTTACCCAGTCATCGTCCCTATTGTGTTATTATTTTTATTTATTAACTTTATAATAACATTCCATAATACATCTCTTGGAATGTTATTCAACTAATAACATTCCAAGAGATGTATCCATCAACAATAACAGATATTTAAAATAAAAATAACTAAACAAAATCATTTTTAACATATGAGAAATTAATACAAGTTGACTTTAAATGTGCTTTACATATCTATGTCAATGAGCGCGTGTGTGTGTGTGTGTGTGTGTGTGTGTGTGTGTGTGTGTGTGTGTGTGTGTGTGTGTGTGTGTATGTGTGTATGTGTGTGTGTGTGTGTGTGTGTGTGTGTGTGTGTGTATGTGTGTGTGTGTGTGTGTATGTGTGTGTGTGTGTGTGTATGTGTGTGTGTGTGTGTGTGTATGTGTGTGTGTGTGTGTTGGCGTGCGTAAGTGTTTGTAAGTTTGTATTTTCCAATTTCACAAACAAAAGATTGAAATTAAATGAGCAATTTAATTTCTTCATATATTTTAGCCTTTAGCCTTAATATTATGGATATATTGCATTAAAAACTCGTTAGAGTGTATATATGTGTAGATACTGCGAAGAGTTATAATGAATCATAGAAAATATCAAACTTACAATAGTGGGTGGATCGACTCCAGGTGGATAAGCTTGTGGTCCTGGAGCTGGAAGCGCTGCTGGCACTGACGTCAGCTCTGAGAAATAAAAAAAAAAGAGAATATTAACAATATCATTCGATGGCGCAGAAACAACTGAATATGATGGCATTCTAAACTAATTTTGCAGAAAATGGTTGTAACTCCTCTTGAGCCGCAAAGTATCGATAATAATAATAATATATAATTTATTTCTTTTCACCAAAAGTTGTACAGTAGGTTTTTTATATACTATGAATAGGACAAACATTCACTCAAGTGTGAAAAGCTGGTGCCTGCTATAGGTTTCCAAAAGAAACCGGTTACACGGGTCACTAGGGCTTCCCCCGCATAAGTAAACAATGCCTAGTAAAAAGATAATAAAAAAGGAAATACAAAAGTAGTTTTAATATAGAGTTCACATTTTGCTTTGTGTATGTATGTATTTGTGTTTGCGTGTGTGTCTGTTTGTGTGCGTATTGCATGAGTGTGCGCGTGTGTAAGAGTACGTATGTGTTTGTGAATATACATTTATATTTATACCAGGGTAACTCATTTGGAAGTGGCTGATTAGCAATATGATAATTGTATTTTTATTATTTAAGGGGTATAAGAAGAGCTTCAGTGGATAGGTAATCTAATTCTCGAAGGTAAACTGTAACAGTTTTTTTACAAAGGGCTCTAGGAAGTGGATAAAAATTTAAAGTCAAGTTTAATTTATTATAAAGGTAACTACCCAAGAAACCAAAAAAATTATGGGATGTTGTTGTTCTGTGGAGTGTTTTTAAACAAACAGCACGTTTCCTACGTTTGTCCTTGAATAACTGTGGATCGTAATTCAATTCAATGTGTTTCCTTAGAACAGTGTGCAAGACATAAGTTTGTCTGACTGTAAGCACTTCCCACTCTCTATAGAGGTCTCCTGTAGGGAATCGAAAGGGAAAACCAGCAGCCACCTTAAGAATTGCGCGTTGCACTCTCTCTACTTTAAGAAGATCGGACTTTCCAACACCACCCCAGACCGAGATGCAATATTCCAGAAGTGATTGACACAGTGCGGAGTACACCATTTTGATTGTCTTTCGATCAGCTACGTGTTTAAGGGTTTTAAATATATAAATAAGTTTCCGTAATCTGGGTACAAGGTAACTGATGTGAGGCCTAAATGTAAGAGTTTGATTCAGAATTACTCCTAAGTACTTTAGGCTACTGGTTCTTTCCAAGGTAGTACAAGCGCAGGAGGCATGATAGCGGACGCATTTGTGAGAAGTGATCTGGAGAGTATCTGAAGGAAGTTGGGAGGTCCTTAATGCGAATGCCATATATTTGGATTTAGTGACATTAAGAGTTAGATCATTACGGATCAGCCACCAGTCCACTTTATCAAGACCTTCCTGGGCATTATGAAAAGCTTCTTCCCAATTAGCTCCACTAAAGAGAAGAGCAGTGTCATCGGCGAAAGCATAGATTTCACCTCCTTGAAGTTCCATGTTAGTCAAGTCATTGAGGTAAGCAAGGAACAGCGTTGGGCCAACTATACTGCCCTGGGGTACACCGCAAGAGATCAGAACCTCATCGCTCATCCAATTGTCTATCTTAACCATTTGTGTTCGGTCTGTGAGGTAATCTTCAAAGAGTTTCAAAGGAAGACCTCGCACTCCAAGGCGTTCCAATTTCATAAGAAGATGTGGTATCGAGACAGTGTCAAATGCCTTAGCTAGATCAAGGAACACAGCGACACATCGTCTCTTTACGTCTAGCGCCTTAACTACGGAGTTTACGAGACCTAGGACCGCATCACAAGTAGACTTGCCGCGACAATCGATATTATACATTTAAACTAAATATCTTAAAGATTAGATTAGTTACTACTAGTCTTTCTAGTACTTTCAGACAAGGGGCCGTCTATAAATTACGTCACACAAAATTCATGATTTTTAAACCCCTCCCCCCCCCCCCTCCTGTCACATGTTTGTCTATACACCTCCCTCCTAACGTGTGACGTAATGTATGGATGGCCTCCAATGATGTTTTAGTTTTATTCTGCAGTTTTAGAAATACTTTTTAAAGAAGAACAATAAAATTACTGAGATTTAGTGTTCATTGTTTGCATATATAGTTTAAATAAGAAACTTACGTGATCCTGAAGTAAATCCAGTAAGATAGGCCGGAGCATTTTTGGGTGGAGGAGCGGGCAATGCCAGTGGTTCCCTAAATGAAAATAAAATTATTTTATTTATAGAAGTTCAATAATAACTGATATCTAATAATGTTTAAATAATGTTAAATCACTTACTTAGGCTTTTCAGCTGGGGTTTCTGTTTTGGTGGGTTTGGTATTAGTCGAATTAAGTTTTGCTACTTGCTGCAAGAAATATTAACAATAAGTTATCAAACACTTAAGATAAAAAGTCGTTTATTTTATTTATTTATTTCCTAACTTATAACTATCATTACAGGTGAAGCCCAATGCGATAGTGAAACCAAAATTAATCAATTAAATTATTAAAATTATAATACACAAATTAACATTAAAACATCATAAAATCATCAAATTAATAGTCAATAAATATTCATACATAATATATAAAAATAAAATATAAATTATTGTCATATATAATAATCAGGGCATTAAAAATTCAAATAACAAAAATACATTTAAAATTAATACAAACCATTCAATTTTTTTTTTCAGTATAGTATCGCGAATGCCAAATTGATCAAAAATTGGTTTAGTATAATTGCAACTGTTATTTTATTGGTAAAGAGACATATTGAGACTTTTTACCATATCTTTCTTCGGTGGAGAAACTGGCACCCATTCTGATGCTTTCTCTCTATGTTGAGATCCAGATGAGACTGGAAACTGCAATCGAAGCTCTTCTTTATTAACAACAGCTGTTGTGGTCTTTATCGGTAAGGGTGCTCCACCCTGTAACAAATTAAGAGTTAGTTATCAATTTCACGGTTTAGCTGTCAGTTTAGTACAGACAGCAAAGAAAACAAGGTTCGCTAAATATATTTATATTTGTTTTTGTCTTTTCTGTAATAATAAATATGAAGATGGCCATTTTTGCAGCAACGTTAACGTTGGTCACCCTAAACGTGTCGCAATTTTGTGACTTCATGTTCGATTACAAATGTCAGTGTGCATAATCCGTTTAACCATATATTGATTAAAATATATACAACGTGTCCCAAAATTCAACGATAAGCGGGCGCCAAGAGGTACCCTTGCTCATGTGTACTTATGGAAAAATAAGAAAAAAATTATATCTTATCTTTTTTATTATAAAATTAAATTCGAAAATCTTCGAAAATTTACACCTTTTATGATATTTTCAACTACCACGACCACAACTTCTCAATTATGTTCAATCTTTTTCTGGTATAGGATACCTAAGTAGCACTACTATTCGCTACAACTCTTTCGAAAATTTTCGAATTTTATTTTATAATAAAAAAGATTAATAAGATATAATTTTTTTCTTATTTTTCCATAAGTACACATGAGCAGGTCTACCTCTTGGCGCCCGCTTATCGTTGAATTTTGGGACACGTTGTATATATATATATATATATCCCCTCCTTTTTTTACACACTTTGTAGTTGAAGTGCAATGCAAACCAAGAAGTCCATTTTGAAAGTAAGTACTATTCTTATTTGGCTTGCATAGTACTTAAAAATTTAGCTCCATGTTAATTTTTACGCAAATATTTTTCAATTTGTATAAAATATATTAAAGAAACTTACCCTAATATTCATCACAATAGGAGCTTTCTCTTTAACAAGGAACGGATGATGGAATGCAATTGTATCTTCATTCTCACTCATATCTTCATCATTAGATGAAACAGATGATAGTTCACCCAGAGCTTCTTTCTTTGATAAATGTTTGCAGAAGTCTGTTAACTCATCAACTGATTTACCTGCGATCATTAAACAGTTTTCGTTTATATAATATTATAACCACCACAATTTTATGAAAGGGTTCGTGAAAAAGAAGATTTTGTTAACTAAGTATTCAATTTCGAATTTTAATTATTGTTTTTATTATTATAAATTCAAACAAGTGAAAAGATTTCTATAAAGAATAGCAAAGTGGATATGATCATATATCAATTTCAACAGTGCTGGAACCCAGGCTTTTCCATGGAATCTAATCCAGCAGACCCACCACAGGGGCTCAATGCGGATTGGTGGATATTAATGATTAACGACCTACGGTTAAAGGTGCCTTAAGAAGCACGCAGATGTTAGAGATACTAAATTCTTGGTTGCCCATCTTATAACCAATCTCTGCTATTAATAAGTAGATACAATTTTGGTTCTAATGCTAGGATGTGCAAAGACGGTCTTACCGGTAAAAGAGGTGTCTTCCGGACAACCTTTGATTCATTGAACTATATTATATTACTATAGTTGTTTAACTTTTGCATCACAGACCGAACGTGTTAAACACTACACCGTCAAGCTCCTCGATAATCATATAAAGGTATAATATGAATTTCGTCTCATCATCATCATAACTAGACTATAAATGTCTCCATTGCTGGGGCTCAGGCCATCCCTATGGGTGGAATCGAATTGAATAGAGAGAATGGGCCATGACACACCATGAAGGTCAAGTGCGGTTTGATGGATATTAACGACTACAGATGCAGCCGGGACCTACAGTTTAAAGCACGGAGGGGTTCGAGATAATAAATTTTCGGTCATCCATCCTTTGACAGACCATTGCAAAAGTTGCTTAACAAATCGCAGATCGAACGCGTTCGACACTGCACCATCGAGCTCCTCGATTATCATATGAAGTTGGTACACCACATAACACAAATTTTAACAAACTTCAAAATCGAAAAGGAGGAAGGAATATGTTCGAAGGCGATGAGTGTGTGTGTGTGTTTTTTTATATATGTATTGTAAATGGTAACCTCCGGATTGTATGGCGGCCATGACTTGACTCCTAGTGTGTGGTGGAAGGGCGGCAGCACCGGCGGGCACCGCGCCATTCTTGAGCATATTGATGGCATTACGTCTGGCCACTTCCAACAATCGCTTCTTCTCACTATCGGCTAGCTTTACGCCCGTCGGCGACCTATTTAGGAATGCAATCACGAATACTATATGGATAGTGGTATAATATGTATATTTCAACAATATATACTATAAAATATAAATAATTGTTTTTTATTTGTTATGTGATGGAAGTTTACATTGTTGGTTTTAAATACTGACATCGCCTTTCAACTGACGAATCTGTATAAGTTTTAATCAGAAAAAAAATGCTATTTATTTTAAATATAATTTTTATAATATTTAATTTATTTTAAATTTGCACTATCTGCTTATATTTGTTATTAGTTAAATTTCTATACTTTGTTAGGTTGCCTGGCAGAAATCGCTATCAAGCGATAAGGCCGCCTATTGTACGATGTTGTTATTATGTTTGCGTAAGATTTTTGTATATTGTGTCTTTTCTATTGTGCAATAAAGAATATTTATTATTATTATACTGGAGGAAGTTTATGATGTTCAAAAATATTTATAGACAGCATAAAAGGAAGCTGAAAGCTTAAGTGTAATCACATGAATATGTCAGATTTTCTTGAAAACCCCAATGGTATGCTAGTTTAAATGTGTCATTATCTCTGTACACGCACCATAGACTACACGTAGACTACGTGAACGCAGAGAGTTTTATGGCTTTATATAAAATGTAAACCTTACTGTAAACTTATACACATTTTTACTAAACAAACACTCTCACACTCACACACACTGATACACTCTCTCTCTCTCTCTCACACACACACACACACACACACACACACACACACACACACACACACACACAGACAAATTAAAAAAATATTGTAACTATTTTATATTTTAAGTCTTTTGTCAATACTTTTGATAAGGAGGAGTGAGATCCCCTAGAACAAGCGCCTGCTTTGGCACTTAAGTTTTAGACAATAAAATATTATTATAATATTTACTGTACTGAGTGATGCAATGAACAAGATTAACTCTATTTTTTAAATATACCTCGATCGTCTGATTCTCTCTCGCTCTCTATGCCTTGGCGATGGATGCCTGGGGCGACCCCTTGAGCGCGATCGTCGTCGTGAACGCGAACGGTGCCTCGACCTACTGCGGCGTCGCGGATCCAAGTCCCGACTTGACCTGTGTCTACGTGATGCTGAACGGGAACGTGACCTCCTTGATTTACTTCTTGACCTAAAGTTGAAACATTAAAAAAAATATTTACAAAATAATATGTCACATTAAATCTTACTGTAGTCCCGTCGCTGAGTAGACAATTCTTAATATGGGTTTTAAACTTAGGTCATGGTAAATTTAAAATTTCCATAGGAATTGTGTTATAATAGCTTGACCCATAAATGACGATAGAACCTTCTTTAGCCTGCATGATGGCAAAACAAGTTTATCTTTGTTTCTAGTATTAAAATTGTGTACATGACTATGTTTAATATAATTGTTAATATCGTTTCTAACATAAAGTATACAATTGTATATGAATTGGGTGGCCACTGTTAATATCCCAATTTCTTTGAATTTACCTCTAAGTGATGTTCTTGTACTCAATTGATAAATGGCCCTTACTGCTCTTTTTTGTAAAATAAATATAGACTCTATATATGCAGCCATACCCCACATCAAAATGCCATATGACATAACGCTATGGAAATAATTAAAGTATACTGTCCTAGCGGTATCTACATCTGTAAGTTGCCTAATTTTTTTTATTGCAAAGGCAGCTGAACTTACTTTTCCTGCCAATAATGAAATGTGAGGATGCCATTGCAATTTAGAATCCAGCGTTACACCTAAGAAGATTGTCGAAGCAACCAACTCGAACTTTTCATCATTAAGTTTAATTTCTGTAACTTCAGCTTTTACATTAGGTAAACTTTAAACATTTCATTTTTTTAGCATTTAACTGGAGATTATTTACAGTAAACTTAGAGAAGTAAATATTAGAGAAGTTATAATACAAAATTTTTAAAAGATGTACTATATTTAACAAATTATTAATAACATACTACATATTAAAAGTAATATTTTTAATATACCTACCTTTTATGTGATTTGTTGGTGCCCCTTTCTTTGCTCTTGTCTCTTTCTTTCCGTGATGACTTATGTGAGCTTTCTACATGCTTTGAACTAGTTTTCTTAGAACTACTCTTATCTTCTTCAGGTCTGGTAAAAATAGCAAATTCAAACATTACATAATGAGTTTTTTAAAAGATTGTTTGATAATAAACATTAGTTAGCAACATATGTATGTTATATAACAATAATTTATATTTATTAAAAATTTGAGTAAACTATACTCCATTCATTATAGCATTAGACAGAAGTGAAATAAGGTTCTTTTTATGGTATACTTTGTGACAAAATATCAATAATCATGTTACTTTTAAGACTGACGGCTAATTTGCTACATATTCACTTAAATATCAGCTGATATACTTAATTGTTGTCATTTAAACTAACTATTAAACAAATTTATGAGTATATGACTAACTCAAATGATTTAATAAGTATTACAATAAAAAGTGTCCATCGTAAAGAACCTAAAGAAGCAGGGTTGGATAGTTTCGGCACGATTCTCATGTCACTATAACTCTACCAAATTTAAAACGTTGCCTAACCCCTTCAAGCGTTTCGGTAGTACAGCTTTTTAATTTTGTCAGACTATTATTTATTCATAATTGTTAAAATCGTAATCTGGGATTGTCATCCATTGTGAATGCTACTACCTTTCTTGTTGTTTAGCCGTTTTCCGTGATGTTATTGATTTATTTTTGTTGTTAAGTTTTGGTAAATATGGACGATGCCGGTACAGGCTCGAGTGGCCTACAAAAATTATGCTCTAAGCCCCCATACCTACCCTCAAACTTTGACATTTCAGGGAGTTTTTCCAATGTCTTCATCAATAGTCTAACTTATTACACTTACAATTAGAATTTATCAAAACACAAAGATAGTTTCAGTTTTAGTTCCATGTTGGCTTGGGACTAAAGATGAATTTATAAAATGCTGGCCTAATCTCCCCGAGGTATCATAAAAAATGGAAAATTGCCCAGGTCTTTCAGACTACCTAATGTTTAAAGTCTCAACAAAACTAATATAGATTTTTTAAATTTATCTTGAAAATAAAATGTTCTGCACTGCTGCTTCTCCGACCCTATTTTTTCAAATGTTATAGTGAATGGAGTATAGTGCAGCAGTTCCTTAGTACCTGCTGAATAAGTCAGCTATTCTTTGGGCTAAATAAAGAACCTAATAATAATGATGTCAATTTTTTTGCAGAGTCAATAAATTATAGCTAAACACTGAGTTAAAATTTCGAGACCCCACTCTCCTACTTTAATGCTTAGTCTTGTTGAATTGAAGCAAAAAATTATGTGTGTGTGTATTTTTCTATAATCTGACTGACAGAATGAAAACAATTTCTTTTTTTTTTACCCATAGAGCTCCCCCCCATTCCTATAAAGGCCAAACTTAATAAAAACACAATAAAAGCTTCTCAATGTGTAACATGATTTAAAACATATGCAAAAATTAAATATAATATCATGGTTGTATCTTTCGAGAGAGGTATTAGAGCATTAGAAAGGAATGAGGTGGAGTTCGATGGTAAGCCAAATCAGGTAGTAATTTAAAATAGGTTAAGAACTGCCGAACAAGATAAATAAGGTATTTAAAGCTGCAAGACTAACATTTTACTTTCATATATAGTGTTTTGTCGAATGAACATATCATATTATTACTAACTGCTTGCTATGTGTCAGTTGTTGACAGCCATTGTTGACATCAAGGCATTTGAAGTAGTGTCATCAACAAAGAAAATTACCTACATTAGTTAAAGATGAGTTAAGAGTATTCAATATTTTTACATAAAAATTACCAAGTTATAATGTAGTCATTCATATTCAGTGATTAAAGAATAAACATCCAGAGATTCAACTTACGTTTTGATTTCTTCTGAAACTTGTTGTTTAAGTATACCACCTAAATCAGAACTTTTAGGAAACTGTGCATTGTCAACTACTTCCTTAACAGATTCACTTGATGAGTCAGTGTATTCACCTTCTTCATACTTCTCAGCTTTCTTCCTTGCTTCTTCTTCAGCTTTTTTTACAGTTTCTTCAAACACAGCACTAAATTTTAAGTTTTTAATTTGAATTTTACCTTTAGCCTTATCATTGTCATCATTCTTTTTATTATCTAGTTTGTATCGTAAATCACTTTCATCTAATTTATGAGTAGGAGATTCAGGCATAGGGATAAGACTAGCATCAATAAAATCACTGTTTTCACTTTTAATACATGCTTGTTCATTGTTCGGTTCACTTTTAACTTCTTTTTTTATATGAGAAGTGGTTTCCTCTTTAGGTTTTTTCACGGTTTCCTTTTTGGGGTTTAATTTTTCGCTTTTTACCTTGGGTTCTGGGTCGGGTTTAATTAAAATAGGAGTTTGGGAACGATGATAGGTAGGAGTAAGGTCATCTCTTCTTTTCTTAGATTTACTTTTTTTTCGTTTTTTACGCTTATGTGAATAATCGCTACTGTCAGAGTCAGTACTGCTGCTGCTGCTACTCCTACTACGTTTCTTCTTTTCTTTTTTGTGTTTTCTTTTGCTTTTCTTGGACTTTTTTGAAGAAATATCTTCGATTTTTGGTGGGTCGGCGTTAAAAGCTCCGAATAGTTCTGACAGAATCTCACTTGATGATTTCGTGGAGTCGTCTTTTGGTTTTTTCTCAGGTGTAGTCTTCTCCCGTTTGATTAACAGTTCTATTTTATTAATTAAACTTGTCATATTGCATTTAAATACAAACACAGTTAATAATCATTAGTAGCCCATAGAACGCATCTCACAACATGCACAGCGTATCAAAAAAATAAACATGTGGCGGCCATCTTGTAAAATAAATAAGGCAAACGAATTTAACTCATACAGCCTAATCTTTGAATTCAACTATTTTTTACTTAAATGTTAATGATCGACCGATGTTCTTTGGAGTTTTTGAGGCAATCAAAAGATGAGTTCCGTACCAGAAACGAGCAAAAAAACTCATTTGTGGTATGGGCCCCTTAAATTTTTTTTTTTTGTTTTTATTATTTGTGAAAATTTCATCTATAATTTTCTTGGTTCATGATATACAACCTAGCGACAGACAGACAAATAGACAGACAGCGAAGTAATAGGGTTCCCGTTTTGCGCTTTGGGTACGGAACCCTAAAATGAACTACAGAATAATTTTAACTTGTTAATTTGTTTGATTCAATTTAATGCACAAGTATATTACTACCCACAACCTTGTTTTCAATTGCCTAGCGTGAGAGTTTGCCTGAAATTTGTCCAATAGAGGAGCCCTATTTTGAATGAGGAAGTATTTAAAAAAAATAAAGAAACTACAAAAAAATTATGTTACTAGATGGCAGCACAAATTGTTGGATCTAAACGTCAATTCATGACGTTAAACCAAAGAGAATAGATTTGTTAGTGTTGTTATGGATCTGATAACTTGGATTAATTTCGAGTTAAAATTTAACTAGTTCGAGTTATGCAATCGCAACTCGATTAATACAAAGTAATCTTTGAATAAATTTATTTTTTATTTGTATAGAGGAAAATGGAAACTAACATAATGGAAGTGAGCACAGAGGTTTTTTAAATTTATGGAAATCAATTGAATGCTGTTATATAATTAAAAGTGGCATCTAACTACGGTATACAATAATATTACGTTTTATAAATAAAATAGGTACTTATGTCATAGTAGGTCTAGGAATGAGGAAGTATTTAAAAAAAATAAAGAAACTACAAAAAAATTATGTTACTAGATGGCAGCACAAATTGTTGGATCTAAACGTCAATTCATGACGTTAAACCAAAGAGAATAGATTTGTTAGTGTTGTTATGGATCTGATAACTTGGATTAATTTCGAGTTAAAATTTAACTAGTTCGAGTTATGCAATCGCAACTCGATTAATACAAAGTAATCTTTGAATAAATTTATTTTTTATTTGTATAGAGGAAAATGGAAACTAACATAATGGAAGTGAGCACAGAGGTTTTTTAAATTTATGGAAATCAATTGAATGCTGTTATATAATTAAAAGTGGCATCTAACTACGGTATACAATAATATTACGTTTTATAAATAAAATAGGTACTTATGTCATAGTAGGTCTAGGAATTTTCATTTTAATATTTAACAAAAGTTCTGAAAAAATAACAACTAGGTAAGTTAGTTTTATTGCTATTAGTTGTTGAACTTACAACAACAAAACTACATCAATTCTCAATATTTTTTTTATATTATATATGGTGAATAAATGAATGGGGTTCATTTATCAGCAACAAAAGTCATAAAAACAATAATTTTTAAGAAAAATCCGTTTATTATCTATAAACTTACCCGATATGTATCAAATATACTATATATTCGTACAAAATAACATAACTGCTGGCTAAAATGACGTTTGTGCAAAGTGTAACGTGCAAATAACTTGTGCTTTCGAAATTAAGACTTTATAAAACTATTATCAGTTATTAAATCTTATATTCATAATTAAATCATCTTAATAAACATTCAGCAATTAACAAGAAACGTCTGCTCTAAACGAACAGCAAGGTTGTAACTTTAAATTTCAAATGCCAAAAACACGTACAGTTATTATATTGCTACTGATCTTGCATGTCGACGGCGGACGTCGAGCCATGTGTTAAGTTAATTCGTACGGCGGGTTTGTTCTTTTTGGTTCTTACAATAATATTGTTAATAATAATTTGAATTCCTACACAACCTACTCTAGATATCCGTTTTATTGAAATATATTATTTACTAAGTACCTAGAGTTGTTATGGTCTCTTAAAATCTCTGCGGTGGTATCGTGTGCGTTAGGTGGTTACGATCCCTCAAATATAGTATAGTTGAGTTGTTTAGTTGAAATTAAAAAAGCAGCCCTTGCTGAGTTTCTTGCCGTTTCTTGTCAGTAAGAGATCTGCCGCCTTAGTTTTGCGAATCATTGGTAAAGTTTTCGACTTTCACAAGTACTATGTAACAGTCTAGATTGAATTGATTTTGATATTTATATTAATATCATTCGTTTTGTGGATGCATAATGACACTTCATCTTCATCATCATTTTTGTTCTCCATTCGAAACCTGAATTCGACGAAAGTTACGAGCAACCAATAAGTTGGCTCATCACTAATGTTGACGTATCAACCAAACATCGTTCCTTTACACGTAATATACTAAACAACTTAAACTTACAATTAAAATAAATTAAAATTAGTTTGAAAGTGAGACATTATAAGAAACACAAAACGATGTCATATTTATTAATCGAAAATACTCAATTTACATTTATTACGTCAGAAATAAAATTTGAATGAATATCATAAACAAAATCCAAAACTCGCGAGTGACATCTAGTATGATTTCAAGAACTAATTTTTATTTTTTAAATACTTCCTCATTAGCATTATAAACAATTCAATACCAATTTTGTCATTTTCGGCGACCGCCGAGTAGACGGGAGACGAATCGTGTAATATTTTTCCACCGCTAGTGCTGATGCATGCACGACTGAGCAATTGAGGAAATCTGTAGTTTAGTAAACCCGATTTTTTTTCCACAAGTATGGGTATTCCCATATGATTCAATGTATTACAGGTTTGCGATAATAAATTCGCGATGCGGATAGTCTCTAATAGTAATGCTGATTGTGTTTGTATGTAACAGCAATTCAATTCAATTCAATTTATTCAATGCAAGTCACAGGTCATACAGATGTTATAAATTAATTTTGTACAAGTGACGCCCTGTAAGGGCACAGCAATACTGAGGGGCAACTATTGCCATTTTTACTTATATGTATTATTGTTCTAGTGATTATTTTTACATTTAATAGTTATTTTACTTACTGTCACCGACGTAGCAGGCCACATATCTAATCTATGGTTGTATTATATTTAAATAATAAAAGAAAGAATAAATGAGTTCCCAACAAAGTGGTGTCAAAGAAGTCAGGAAAAATTTTACTCACGATTTCAAATATTTTAAAATATATTTTTTTGTAGTATTTAAATACTACAAAGTCGTGCGTAAGTAATAATCCACACCATAAAAACGTAAGTACGTTCCATATTCATTATTTTGTAATTATACGTTTTTATTTCATAACTATCATGATAACCCGATCAAAAGCTAAAGCTATGGGCACCGATCAGAGCGAGGGCTCATCGGTCGGCTCAACATCATCTATTAAGGCACAAAAGCTTGCTGCGGAGGCTGCGTACCTCCGCCGTATTGCGGACTTAGAGAGGGCAGAACGTCGAGCCTCCTTAGAAGCCGACCGCTCTATAGCGGAGGCAGAGCACCGTGCGGAAATGGCCGCAATTGAGGCCACAGAGGGAACCAGTCAGGTTTCCAGCCGACGTTCAAGTGTTTCTAGTCGTCATAGTCGCCGCACCGTTCATAGCTGACTAAATAAAAACGTAATGAAGAATACTATATCTTATAGTGACAATTTAAATGTACAGGTGCCACCGATGGCTAGCGTGGATATTCTAGAGGCGCATTCGTCGCCATCAAGAGACGCAGAGGGTTTTGCAGCCCCCATCTCATCGAATGCCAGCATGCCCCTACCACGCACACGTACCACAACTAACGTCACATCTAACATTCCAATAATAACAAGTGCCCATTTATGTACAGATACGTGCCCTGAGACTTCTGTGCCCGATTTTGCGTATACGTGCGCACCTATTGGGCCTCAACCTACTGAAGTTAATGGATGCTACGTACCGCACTACCCAGTCACAACTATGGCGCAAGTTACCTCTGTACCACACCTTGCGCCTTGTACGCCCCGTTTGCCAGGGTGTGCACACACATACTTAATGCCTCCTCAGAACTTCGGTCAAGCACACGCTGCACAGGGCGTTTCTAAAGCCTTTTCACCACGGACGCCGACTGTAACGGCGCCGACTGCGCCTGTCTGGCAGCCACCCTGTTCTCACTCACACTCTGCATTAGGTACACAAAACGCTCAAAAATGTAACACAAATAATAAAGCATTAGAAAACCAAAATTCTATTCAAAACTTAGCTGACGCCATAGCCAGCGTCGCGGTAGCAGCGAAGACACCAAAGGTAAGCTTTCCTCTTCCTATTTTTGAAGGTCGGCCAACAGACTGGCTAATCTTTAAGAAGATTTATGATGAAACAAGCCCGTCGTTTACAAACTCAGAGAACCTCATAAGAATCAATGCAGCCCTTCGCGGTCCTGCACGGGACTCTGTAGCTGTTCTTCTTGTAGCCACACGCGACCCTTCGGAGGTCATTCGAGCTCTCGAGACTGTTTTTGCTCGACCTGAGCAAATCATCCTGACTGAAATTGCATCCGCTCGTGCACTTCAAAAACTCTCCAGTCACGAGAGCGCGAATGAGCTTAATGTTTTTGCTTCTAAGGTTCACAACTGCGTGCAGGTGGTGCGTCTGCTGCATCGGCCTGAATATCTTGCCTCCCCAGAGCTTTCGAACGAAATTGTTAGCAAATTAACCCCGCTGCTTCGGTCTAGATGGGCTGATTTTGCAGCCAGTAGGGAAAAGGCGGATCCATATAAATATAGGCTCGAACTTCTGTCCGATTTTCTGGTACAGGAAGCCAACTTGCGGGTCAGATACCAAGTTTTCAAGGTACCTGAAGTGAAAGACAAACCTGTGAGCAAAGAACATTGTCATACTACTTCTACCGCGTCATCTGTACCAATTGTTTCTCCGATGCCAAAAGAAAAGGTGTGCTCCTACTGTGAAACTTCAGGTCACGTGGTAAGGTCCTGCCATAAGTTTAGCGCCC